AGTGCCAGCACTGGGTTTAGAAGATTTAAATCTTTTTTTTTTTTTTTTTAAACACTTTCTTCTTGTGTGCTGCTATCCTTGCTATACTTTTGGCACCTTCAACTTAGTTCCTGACTGTTAAAACCCGTTATTATACAACTGCATAAATGTCTGGTACATACAGAATCTCTTTCATATACTTTACCCTTGATAGTCCAACCTCAACTTCGAGATTGTATAATAATCTGGAAAAAAAAATTTAAAAGACCAAATTGTGTTACAGTAAACTCTCTTTCTCTTCAGCTTATACCTATAGGTGGACCATTCAGACAAGATCTCTCTGCTCAAGAGACTACTAGTAAGATCAACACAGCATGGCCTATATCTTAAAGGGCTAGTCACAGATACAAAAAATACAGACAAGAGAGGATCACCAAAACCAGGGCTAACAGAAAGGAACCTTTAAAACAGACAGACCTGCACATACAGATTTCTTCCATTTACTTTATCTTTGGCAGACCAACTCCAACTGCAAGAGTGCATAATAATCCAGAAAGCTATTCAAAGGCCAGATCATTAACAGTAAAACATTATCTTAGAAAGCTTATACTTAGAGGTGACCCTGCAACTTCCTTTACCTTTGACAGACCAACTTCAATCATAAGATTGTACAAAAAATAAACACAGACAACCAGAGAGGAGCACCCAAACTATGGCTGGCAGATGGGAACCTTTAAATTGACCAGCCAAAATCTTTCCCAAGAGACTACCTATTATTAGATCAATGCAGTATTGACCACATCTTAAAAGGGGCAGAAACAGATACAAACAAAACAGAAACACAGACAACAGAGGGAATTCCCCAAAACAAGGCCAACAAACAGATTTGAGAACTTAGACCAGAAAGGAGTAAATATCCCTAGGTTCTCAAGTCTTGCTTAACCATGACTCCTACAGCAGTGGCACCACAGAAGTCCCCATAAAGAGGAACCAGATTGTAGACTGAAGGGTCTCCGCATGCACACCAGATGGCCAAGGGTGTCCTGACTTCACTGAGTTCAGTTTCCTTTTTCTAAAAGTGGACTAGGATGGAGCAACCTGTAGCATTTAGGAGTTCCCAGAACCAAAAGGAGCTTTAGCAATTAATGAAAAAGGTAGTAAACTCCCTTTACTCACAGCAATAGCTTCTCCAGACCAAGGCAAACTCACCCTATCTCCTAACTCTCTTGCAGTTGGTGCTCAACAAGTTCGCCAACCCATTAAGTTTGTGAATCACGTTGGGCTAGGGGGTAATCACACTACTGTGATTTCCCCCACGTTCTGTGATTTCTTCCCCTCTGCGTGTTAATAGTTGTATGCGGTTTTTCTTCTGCCAGTTCATTCCATCGAACCTTCGGAAGGCGAAGGAGAGTATTCCTTTCGTCCTAAACAGTAATCACCAGGGAACTATAAACTTTAAAATGGTTTATGTTTTGAAAATTTTACCTTAAAAAAATTAGTTCAGGCATTCATTTTACAGACCCCTGCGGAGCAATTCACACTCACCACTTACAAGCACGCCCATCGCCTTAGCGGGATTCAGCGGAGGTTTGCAGCCCCTTGGGGGATGTAGGAGTCCGGCGTTACGCCACGGGGGGGCGGGGCTTGGGGCGGGGTCCGGGGCGGGGCGCAGTGGCCTCGAGGAGGCGGTCCGGCGGCGGTCCGCGCCTGTTGCCGTGAGAACCCGTGACAACAAAGGCGCAGGCGGCGGCGAGCTGAGCCTAGGAGTCCTGCGCTGGCCGCCGGAGACCCGGGTTTTCCCGAGCCGGTCAGTGTACTGTGGGCCGGGCCGGGCGGGGCGAGAAAGCGGGGCGCCACCCGGCTCTCGGCGTCTCTGCGTCCCCTCCTCCTGGCTGCTGGCCGGGAGTCGGGGCCGCCGCTGGCAGGGGGCGGTTGGTGTGCCGGAAAAGACTGGAGTCCTTACTGGGACCCGGGTGAGCGGCCGGAGATAGAGCGGCGCTTCCGGAGGGTAGTTGGGTGCCCCAGAGGTGGAAAGGCCTGCGGAATGGGGCCAGAGTACGTCTTGGATTTATATGTCTCACTGCGGGATGTGAGGAGGGCCTCCTTTTTCCCGTCGTAGAGATTGAAACTTTGTTTTGTCGCAAAACTCTTTTTTTTTTTTTTTTTCCATCTTAAGAGATTGAAACTGAGGCATTCAAGCACTGTGGAAACCTAAAAGCATCCCTCAGTAGCAGGTGATAATGGAAAAAAGAGGGTACCCAGATTCTTTCTTTGAAACACCTCTTAAATAACACCGCCTTCTCTAATTTTAAAAAATCTTTAAATTTTTTCACCTTTTTACTTATTTATGCATTTGAGGCCTTTTATAAGATCTTTATACGATTCACTATCCATCTGCTGGGAAGTTTCTTACAAAAATATTAAAATTAACAAACCACGATTTTTAGACAACCATTACTTTCTGAGAAACCAAGAGCATTAAGATGGCACTGGTAGTTGGAGACACCCTCATCAGTGACATGGGAGGTCAAATAAATACTGCTCTTGCTTTTGTTCACACATAAAATACCCATTGACCCTAAATATTACTAGCTTATCAGATTGCTTTCTTTTTTTACATCTATAACCAATAATACATATGTATCTGATGTCTGTAATCAGAATCTGAAGACATACTACTGGTTTAAACCTTGATTTCTTGACAGTTTACAAGCCTTATATTTATGAACCATTATTATTTTTTAATGATTAGGTGAATTTCAATTGCCTAGGTGGCCAAATTTGTTTATAGATATTCCCATCATAATAGCAAAAAAGTGAAAATATCCTAGTTACATTTGATTTTTTTATTATTATTAATTTCATTGAAAGTAGTTAGGGTTGGCTTACCATAGACCATAATTTTTGTTTTAATGTGATGGCATAAAAAATAAAATGATATGTATGATACAGACTTCAGTTGTAGGGTGTTCACAGACATTTGAAAGAATCAACTCAGCATCCCTAAAGTCTGGAAAAATTTCCAATACCAAATGATTTTTGGAGTCCTTTAGGATCCAAGAAGGAATTTACCATACATAGGAGTATTATTTTCTGCTGCAGAATTTCTTTAGAATGATTAAAACTGGCAAGATTGCCATCTCTTTATTTTGGCTGTAAAGGATAGCTTGTTGGCTCTGTTTTGGGATTTTACAGCCCAAGGGACCTAGTATTGTCATACTCTCAATGGGATCCTAGTAGCATGATGTAAATGGTTTTTGTTGTGATCCTTTTCAAATTGTCTACTTAGAATTATAAATGCATGGTACTGCTGCAGAATTTTTAAGTAGGCTAGTGCATATTAAACATGTTGTCATTAACATCTTCATAGCAGCAGTGTGTAAAATGTTATTTTGTGTCCAGTAGCCTGCTAGTATAATGATAGTGATCAAAATACAGCTTTTGCAAAGAATCTAGCCTGATACCCAAATGATTACTTTTCATTACCTGTACTCAAACACTGTCATAGATTACGTGTTACATTTTTTAGAGTTATACAATCAAGATTGTGAAAATGGATGTACAAGTTTTTATGCAAATGGTGGCAATAGAATTGCTGAGTCTGTGTTTAACTTTTTGAGGAACTGCCAGTCTGTTTTCCAAAATAGCTGTACCATGTTACATTCCCACCAGGAGTGAATTATGTTCCAATTTCTCTACACCCTCACCAATGCTTATTATAATCTATCTCTTTGTTAATAGTCTTGCTAGTGAGTGTGGAGTTGTATTCATGATTTTAACTGCATTTTTCTGACAGGTAATGATGTTGAGCATCTTCTTATGTGCTTTTGGACATTTGTATGTCTTCTTTGATGAACTGCCTTTTCAGATCCTTTGCTCATTTTAAAATGGCTTTTTAAAGTCTTTGAGTTGTAATAGTTCTTATTCACTTATTTATTTACTTATTTTTATTTTATTTGTTCTTTTTAGTTATATATGACAGTACAGTATATTTTGACATTTGTATACAAACATAAGAGTATATCTTTTTGTAATTAGGATCTCAGTCTTGTGGTTGTACATAATGTGGAGCTTCACTGTGTAATAATTCTTTTTAGTGGGGAGGGGTACTGGGGATTGAACTCTAGGGCACTCGACCACTGAGCCACATCCCAGGCCCTATTTTGTATTTTATTTACAGACAGGGTCTCACTGAGTTGCAAAGCACCTCACTTTTGCTTTGAACTCGTGATCCTCCTGCCTCAGCCTCCCGAGCTGCTGGAATTACAGGCATGTGCCACCGTGACCAGCTGTAATAATTCTTTATATAGTCTAGATGGAAGGTCTCATATTAGATTATGACTTGCAAATGTTTTCTTCCCTTCACTGAGCCGCCAGCTGCCTCCTTTCCTTTTTTTTTTTCCTTCCTTCTTCCTCCTATTACTAGGGATGGAACCCAGGAATACTCTACCACTGAGCTTTACCTCCAGCCCTTTTTAGATTGAGACACAGTCTCATTAAGTTGCTGAGGGTGACCTTGAATTTGTGATCCTCCTACCTCAGTCTCCTGAATAGCTGGAATTACAGGTCTGTGCTTCTATGCCCAGTGTCTTTTCTCTTTCTTGATGGAGTCCTTTGAGGCACATAGTTTTTAAGTATTTTTTCATTTAAAGTTTGTATATATTTTTTTAAATTGCTTTTGCTTTTTGGTGCTATATCTGAGAAATCATTGCCAAATCCCAGGTCTTGAAGAGTTACTCCTGTGTTTACTTTTAAAAATTTTAGGGCTGGGGATATAGCTCATTCAGTAGAGTGCTTGCCTCACATGCACAAAGGCCTGGGTTCAATCTGCAGCACAAAAAGAAAAAAGAAAAAAAAATTATAGTTGAAGCTCTTAAATAAAAACCTAAAAGTCTGTGATTCATTTTTGGTATTTTATATATATATATATATATATATATATATATATATATATATATATATATATATGTATTCAATTTTGGTTATTTTATATGTATATATGAATGAATTCCAACTTCATTCTTATACAGAGGATATTCATTATTTGTTGAAAAAACTGTTCTTTCCCCATTGAATTATCTTAGCACCCCTATTGAAAATCAGTTTTTGTAAACAAGCCGTTTTATTTATTTATTTATTTTTAAAAATATCTTTATTTTTTTTAATTTATTTATATGTGGTGCTGAGGATCGAACCCCGTGCCTCACAAGTGCGAGGCAGGCGCTCTGCCTCTGAGCCCCAGCCACAGCCCCAGTGGGTTTATTTTTGGATTCTTAGTTCAGTTGTGTTGATCTATATGTCCTATGCCAGTACCACATTGTTTTGTTTTTTTTATACCTTTATTTTATTTATTTATTTTTATGTGATGCTGAGGATTGAACCCCAGTGCCTTCACACCCAGTGCTGGCAAGTGCTCTACCACAGAGCCACAACCCCAGCCCACCACATTGTTTTGATTATTGTTGCTTGGTTTTGAAATTAAGGAAGTGTGAGTTCTACTTTATTGTACTTTTTCAAGATTGTTTTAGCTACTCTGTGTCTGATGAGTTTCTATAAATTTCAGGATTAGTTTGTCAATTTCTTCAAAGAAGTCAGCTGGCATTTTGATTAAATTGATATGGGGAATGTTGACATCTTAACACTATTAAGCCTTCCAGTCCATAAACATAGGACTTTTGTCATTTGTTTAGATCTTCTTTTATATTCTTTTAGCAATACTTTGTAGTTTTCAGGTATATATTTTACATATCTGTTATTAAGTTTATTCCTAAGTATTTTGTTCTTTTTGATGCTAATTATGAATAAAATTGTTTTCTTAATTTTCAGGATGTTTATTGTCAAGTTTAGTTGCCAATTTATTTATTTATTTATTTATTTATTTTTTAGCAGGGATTGAGCCCAGGAACCCTTAACCACTGACCCCTATCTCCAGTCCTTTTTATTTTTTATTTTGAGATAGGGTCTCATTAAGTTGCTCAGGACCTTGCTAAGTTTCTGAGGCAGGTTTTGAACTTGTGATCCCGCTCAGCCTCCTAAGTTTCTGAGATTATAGGCATGTGCCACCGTTCCTGGCATCAGTTCAATTTTATTGTGTGTGATAATGGGGATTGAACCCAGGGATGCTATATTCCTTAGCTATGTCCACAGCCCTTTCTAATTTTTATTTTGAGACGCAGGGTCTCACTAAATTGCCCTGGCTGGCCCTGAACTTGAGATCCTTCAGCCTCAGCCTCCTGAGTAGCTTGAAATAAAAACACTAGTTTAAAATTTTTAATTTTTAAATAAGAATTTTTAAAAATTTGTTTTACTTGTTGATGGATCTTTATATGTGGTACTGAGATTTGAACCCAGTGCCTCATACATGCTAGGCAAGCATTTTGTCACTGAGCTACAGCCCCAGCTCTTAAATAGGAATTCTTTTTTTTTTTTTTTTTAATATTTATTTCTTTTAGTTTTCGGCGGACACAACATCTTTGTTTGTATGTGGTGCTGAGGATCGACCCGGGCCGAACGCATGCCAGGGGAGCACACTACCGCTTGAGCCACATCCCCAGCCCATTAAATAGGAATTCTTGAAACTGTTTTCATGGATTTACTTCTGATATTTCTGGAAAAGAGGAGATACTATTTTTATAGCTAGCTACAAAATCTAATACAAATGTTTGCTTTTCTCATGTGTATTTTTACATATTATTTTTCTTTTCTAACTCTGACTATTCAATATTTAGATTAATGAACAGGGAAACATTACCATTATAGAAATAAAGGCACAGTGGAATTCCATTTACCTAATGGTTAGTTTCATAATTTATCAACTTATGGCCTCTGCCTGCTTGAATATTTTGAAGCAAATTCAGGCATCATATAATTTTATCAGTAAATTAATGATGTACTTTCCAAGACACATTTACTATCTGTAACTATTTTCAACTAAAAAAGAATCTGCTTTAATTGACTTTAAATTGTGGGTAGTTTTATTAAGGTAAGCAGAGTCAATAACTTGTCTTTTGTTTTGATACACAGGAGTCCAGATCTCATGTAAAATGGGTGTTTCTCACACTAGATACTGAACTTTAAGTAAATAACCTATTTAGTAAAATCTAAGCTGCCATGGAAGAAATACCAGTAAAAGTTGCTGTAAGAATTAGACCTCTACTTTGCAAAGAAGTTCTTCATAATCATCAAGTTTGTGTGAGAGTTATTCCAAATACCCAGCAAATTATCATTGGGAGAGATAGAGTCTTTACTTTTGATTTTGTTTTTGGCAAAAATTCCACTCAAGATGAAGTTTATAATACTTGTATAAAGCCCCTAGTATTATCACTTATTGAGGGGTATAATGCAACGGTTTTTGCCTATGGACAAACTGGATCTGGGAAGACATACACCATTGGAGGAGGCCATGTTGGTAAGATATTCATATTCTTTGGCTTTTATTTGAGAAAATAGAAAAAAGTGAAAATATGACAATATCTGACACACAGTAGATGTTTGGCATGTTGATTGAATAATTAGAGAATATATAGTATAATCAAATGTGATCATAAGATCATTATATTTGACAGATTAGTTTTTAAATATTGAAAGTCCATTAAATAATCGAACTTATGATGGTATTTTCTTGAGGAAAGATGTTTAAGACAATGTTTAGTGCTAAGCTTACCTTGTTATTTTGAACAAAGTTTAAAATAGAGATAAATAAGTTGATATGATCAGATTTTGCATTCTTTAATAAACTGTTTAGAAATATTAAGAGTCCTACAACTAGGAGTTAGGGGCAGGAAGAAAAAAAATTTTTAAACCTTTTTTTTAATTATTTTTTTTAGTTGTAGATGGACATAATACCTTTATTTGTTTATGTGGGTGGTACTGGGGATCGAAACCAGAGTCTCACACATGCTAGGTAAGCACTCGACCACTGAGCCACAACCCCAGCCCAGAAAAATTTATTTTGTAGTTTCAAGTGTATTTTAGAATATAATTTCTTCTAATTGTAATAATAGTGTAGAAGAGGTAGAATCATGGGATTTCTTATAGACTTGGTGGGACCCTGGAAATCATTTCTCTTCACGAAACACGAGGAGCTCCAGCCAAGGAAATGAATTCTTTAGTTACGTGATTGGTAATGGAATGGGGATTGAAAGCCAACTCCTCTGTTGAGATTGTTTATAAGCTTTTTTTTTTTTCCTTTTATGGTAAGAAAGTATTTAGGCTGGGCATGGTAGTGTATACCTCTAATCCCAGTGATTTGGGGTCTGAGGCGGGAGAATTCAGAGTTTAAGACTAGCCTCAGCAATTTAGCAAAGTCCTAAGCAATTTAATGAGATCATAAGCAACTTAGTGAGACCCTGTCTCAAAATTAAAAATAAAAAGGGCTGGGAATGGAGCTCAGTGGTAAAGCACCCCTGGGTTTAATCCCCAGTACTAAAAAGAAAACAAAAAAAAGTCTTTATTCAGGATTGGTGTGCTGAATGTAGAGACCACTGCAATGGGATTTTTGCAGTGAGGGAAAAAGATTGTCTTGATACCAAATACAGTATGGACTATAAGAGGGAATTTATAGCCAAGGAACAAGGTGGGGCCAATAGAAAATTACTATGAGGTAACATCAAGAGTAAGAGAAATTCTGGCTAAAATCAACTAATAGGATTCTTGCCCAAGACAGGCTAGTGTGATTAGATATCTCCTGGGAGATAGTAGAGGATTAGGAACCATATCAGATATTGAGAGTGGAGGATTCTTCTATTTTAGTCCAGCTTTTTTTTTTTTTGCTACTGTGATCAAAAGACCTGACAAGAATAATGTAGAGGAGAAAAGTTTATTTGTGACTCATGGCTTCAGAGGTCTCAGTCCATGGATGGCTAACTCTGTTGTCCTGGGCCTGAGGTGAGGCCTGAGGTGAGGCAGAACAATATGGCGGAAAGTAGCAACTCGGGACATTGCACAGGAAACAAGAGACCTCTGCTCACTGGGGACAAAATATGTACTCCAAAGGCAAGCCCCCAGTGACCTACCTCCTCCAGCCACACCCTACCTTCCTACAGTTACCACCCAGTTAATCCATTCAAGTGGATTAATACACTGATGAGATTAACCTCTCATAACCTAATTTTTTCCCCTCTAAACTTTCTTGCATTTGTCTCACACATGAGTTTTGGTGGACACTTTGTATCTAAACCATAACACTTGCTAAACTGACTTAATACAGTTCTTTTTTTTAATATTTATTTTTTAGTTTTAGGTGGACACAATATCTTTATTTTGTTTTTATGTGGTGCTGAGAATCTAACCCAGTGCCTCACGCATACTAGGCGAACGCGCTACCACTTGAGCCACATCCCTAGCCCTAATACAGATCTTAATAATAACTGATTTTTTACAAAAAAGTGCACAGATTGCCTAGGAGAATGTTCAGAAACTTGAAGAAAGGTTGGCCAAGTAAAAAAATCTTTTTCACGGTTGTCAAAAAGCTTTAATCAGAAGCTTTTTGTGAATATTACTTATGAAAGCTGAATGAGCTTGACATTTTAAGAATCTGAGCTTTTTTCACAACAAAGTCTTCAAAGCATTTCTAAAAGTTATTTTGTGAAGAAACAAAACCATCTTTTAGGAAATCACATGCCAGAATGACTTCTTGTACATTCCTGCCTCCTATTCCTTTATCTCATACTCAAACTCCACCTTCACATCTGCTTCCAAGGAACATACCTCTGACACTAAAAAAGCACTTGGAAAACCTGGTTCAGTGTGATATAAAGCAAACTTTTGAATATTGTACATATGCATTATTGCCTGAAATTTTAGTGTTCTCTCTATATAGTGGCTCAGTAAATTTTCTTATTTTCATACTTCTCAAATGTAGAATATGTGACTTTCAGAAACTTGTCTCATGGGCTGGGGATGTGGCTCAGCGGTAGAGTGCTCAACTAGCATATATGAGGCCCTGAGTTCTATCCTCAGCACTGCATAAAAATAAATAAATAAAATAAAGGTATTGTGTCCAACTACAACTTAAAAATAAATACTTAAAAAAAAAAAAAAACTTGTGGCTCTGAAGAAGTCCTTGTTTCAAAGATTATATTGAGGGACCTGAAGTGCCCAGTATCCTTCAATTTTTTTTTTTTTTTAAGAGAGAGAATTTTTTAATGTTTATTTTTTAGTTTTCGGCGGACACAACATTGTTGTTTGTATGTGGTGCTGAGGATCGAACCCAGGCCGCACGCATGCCAGGCAAGCGCGCTACCACTTGAGCCACATCCCCAGCCCACCTTCAGTTTTTTTGAATTTATTTTTTAGTTATAGGTAGACACAATATCTTTTTTTTTTTTCATGTGGTGCTAAGGATCGAACCCAGTGCCTCACACATGTCACGCGAGCGCTTTACCTCTGAGCCACAACCCCAGCCCTAGTATCTTCCAATTTTAAAAAATCTATATATAATTAAATTTTTCTAATGAAAATTGGGTTTCTTTTGAAGATGGTAATTTTTTAAAAAATTGGCAAATGGTTTATGATCTTAAAGACCTACTATCAACTTTACACTAATAGTACTTTTGAGATATTCAGAACCTAGTGATATAGTTATATTGATTTTTTTTTTTTTGTGAGGGAATACTGAGAATTGAACCCAGGGGCACTCAACCACTGAGCCACATCCCTAGCCCTATTTTATATTTTATTTAGAGAAAGAGTCTTAGCACCTTGATTTTGCTGAGCTGGCTTTGAATTCGTGGTCCTCCTGCCTCAGTCTCCTGAGCTGCTGGGATTATAGGCATGCGCCACCACGTCCAGTAGTTATATTGATTTTTATTAAGAGGTCATGAGTATACCCTTTGTATACCCTTTAAACAGTATATACTGTCTAAATGATGGCTGTTGAAGTATTAAACTTGACAGGTTCTCTAATTTAGTCTATTTCAGGAATATAACTACCAACATTGCAAATGTGGTAGTTTTGTTTTATTTTTCCTTATGGTGCAGGGGATTGAACACAGGGCTTCACAAATGCAAAGGAAGTGCTCTACCACTGAGCTATATATAACCCCATCCCTCAAATGTCTCTAAGGGCACCAAAATACATGTTTAAACGTATTATAAATATTTGACATTTAAGTTTTTAAATTGCTGTGCATTGTTACCTGCTGATAAAGGGAATAATTGAGCTGTTTCTGGTCAGTCGAATATTTTGGCTACTCTAGATTGCTTATTTATATTATAGTTTGAAAGAATTTAGGTATTTTCTTCTAGAAACTTCTTTCTAGAAGTTTTTGAAAAGGAATTTTTTTCAAAAAATATATATTTTTTTAGTTGTACTTGGACACAATACCTTTATTTTATTTATTTATATGTGATGCTGAAGATCAAACCCAGGGCCTCACACATGGTAGGCGAGCACTCTTACAGCTGAGCCACAACCCCAGCCCTGAAAAAGAATTTTTGTTTTCTTCCTTTTGTAAAAACCTATAGCTTCCTTTACTTGCTACACAATGGCAGCTTTAAATCTTGAATTAGGAAAAAGGCAGCCATCCTAGTTACCCAATAAGTTCCAAGGTTTTAATACTGCAGATATTTCAACAAAATTGGCACAGGTGCATTAAAATAGTTTGGAAATAATAATACAGAACTTACATATCCTTTATATATTTTTCAAATGTATATGAAAATGTATATATTTTTAAATGATCTGTCATTCACCTATTAATTTTTCTCAAAAGAATAGAACTCTAAAAACATTTATTTCAAAATTTACGGTACTGGTATGTTTGTTCCTCAATTTGAGTTGTCATAGGCATCCCAAATCTGAAACAATGGGATTTAATGTCTTAATAAAGGTTCAGGTTTTTTTTATACTTATTTTTTAGTTGTATGTGGACACAATATCTTTATTTCATTCTTATGTGGTCCTGAGGTTTGAACCCAGTGCCTCATGTGTGATAGGCGAGAACTCTACCACTGAGTCACAACCCCAGCTCCAAAGGTTCAGATTTTTGAGATGAGTGTTGCCTCGAATCTAGTTTGGTAATCTACTTGAAAGCAAGGTATCTTTATTTTTATTATTATTATTTTATTTAGTTTTTGAGATAGGGTCTCATTAAGTTCCTTAGGGCCTCAATAAATTGCTGAGCTGGCCTCAAATTTGTTATTCTCCTACTGTAGCCTCCCAAGTTGCTGGAATTATAGGTCTGTACCCCTGGGCTGGGATGTAGCTCAGCGCAAACCACTTGCCTCACATTCTCAAAGCCCTAGGTTCGATCTCCAGTTCCAAAAAAGAAAGACAAAATAAAGAACCACACACACACACACACACACACACACACACACACACACAAAGATTTAAAAAAAAAAAAAAGGTGTGCGCCACTATATCTAGCTCAGAAAGCAAGTTATTAAGTTTCATTTGAGGGCAGACTTTTATTGCTTTGAATATATTTTCTCTGATACAATGCTGAACATGCTGAAGCTGGTTTACAAAATGTATCTAACCTTAAGTTTCAATTTATACCTCCATTTATTATTTTTTTTTAAGAGAGAGAGAAATTTTTAATATTTATTTTTTTGTTTTCGGCGGACACAACATCTTTGTTTGTATGTGGTGTTGAGGTTCGAACCCGGGCTGCACGCATGCCAGGCGAGCACACTACCGCTTGAGCCACATCCCCAGCCCTCCATTTATTTTAAATTTTATCTTTTATACTTTTTTTTACTATTTTAAAAATCGTGGAAAATATACATAAATACAAACAACTAGTACTTTTAATTGTACTTTTAAGTGCATAGGTATTTGGTATCAGATATATATTCACAGTGTTAATACCACTCTTTCCAAAAATTTTTATCTCTATATCCATTAAGCAATGAATACCTTAGCCTTTACCCTCTAATTCCAATTTACTTTCTATCTCTGTAAATATTTGACTATTCTAGATATTTCATAGTAGTAGAATCATATAATGCTTGTCTTTCTGCTTCTGACTTCTCTCAGCATATTGTAGTATGTATCAGAACCTCATTTCTTTTTGACTGAATAAATCTCATTGTATGTATATACTAAGTGTTATTTATTCATTTCTCTGTCAGTGAACACTTGGTTTATAATCTCCTTTTGGCTTTTGTGAATAATGCCACTGTAAACACTGGTATACAGATGTCTGTCATAGGTATATGTAAAGCTGCTTTAACTCCTTTTTTAAAATGGAACATAAATAAATGTTCACTCAAATGCTATGGTACTAATCTGTGTTCCAGGTTGTGTAAGTTGTGGATTCAAATAATGATGTTGATATGTTCTCTTCCTTGTTCCTGGATTCTTTTTCTAGGCTTGGGCAGAACTGGCCTTTCTACATCTCTCCTGTATACATATCCTGTCACCATCAGACTGCTTTGCTTCCCTGCAATTTCTACACCTTTCTATTTTCAAGTCCCCTTCACCTTTCTACCCCACCCCAAAATCTCAGTAGATTCTCAAGTGAATAAATAAATCTTAAGATTCTAAGAGTGAAGAAATACGATTATTATGAGTGCTTTTTTAAAAAACAAATTATTCTTACTAATATAAACAATGCTAGTGATTGGGATTCTACCCAGTCTGTAATAAATGATCTAAATAGAAAGAGATTTTAGTATAAAGAACTATGAAATAGGTTGGTCTCATGTGGGGTCAGTTGCCAGTATTGTTTTGTCCTCCCTGCATCTTTTTCTGCTTTAGAAATTACATTGTCTAAAAGCTTCAGCATTTTTATCACCAAGGCTCCCACTAGTATTGGGGACACTGGTGAATACTCCAGGGATGGGGTAGATTTGGGTAAGGACAGCCCTTTATATAAAAGGAGTTTTAATGAGCCAAGGTCCACTTCCTTGGATGTAGTATTTAAGGAACAGTGAATTGATGAATTAGGAAGATAATGTGTTTATAAGATGGCATGGCTGGGGCTGGGGTTGTGGCTCAGAGGTAGAGCATTCCTCTAGCATGTGTGAGGCTCTGGGTTCGATCCTCAGCATCACATAAAATAAATAAAATAAAGGTATTGTATCCAACAACAACTAGAAAATATTTAAAAAATGGCATGGCAGGCTGGGAATGTGGCTCATGCCGTAGCGCTCTTGCCTAGCATGTGTGGGGTGCTGGGTTCGATCCTCAGCACCACATAAAAATAAAATAAAGTTGTTGTGTCCACCGAAAACTAAAAATTAAATATTAAAAAAAATGGCATGGCATATTTATGGAATATATAACATACTTTTAATATATTTTTACATAATTTAATCTTTTATATCAAAATGGACATTTCTATTGTACCTACCTGCTTTGAGTTTCACTAATGCCACTTGTGGCCTAAAGTATTCATGGGACTTTCAATAATATATTTTATCACATCTTTTGTTTTTGTCTTAAACTTATATAAATATGTTTAATTTATTGGTTTGGCTTGTCATTTAGTTATTATAAACTTCCTTGTTATATGCTTTTTCCAGTTCTCTACAATATATTTAGTTTATTTTATAACTATATTTAAAGCTTTATGTTGCTGGGTATGATGCATATCCTGATACATGCCTGTAATCCAAGCTACTAGGGAGTCTGAGGCAGGAGGATCACAGGTTTGAGGCCAGCTTCAGCAACTTGGTAAGACCCTATCACAAAATTTTAAAAAGTGGGGGGAGGGACTGGTTTGGGGATGTAGCTCAGTGGTAAAGCACCCCTGGATTCAATCCCCAGTACTGGGGGAAAAAAAATCTAAACAACAAGAACCCTTTAAGTAACAGGTTTATGTATTTAAATGATCTTAAATGGTAAAAATTCAAATATGACAACTATAAGATAAAAAAAATTAAAATGTTCCTTTGTTTTCACTTATTCTAACTCCCCAAAGTAAACAATTTTATTTTAAGTATTTTTGTATAGATATGTGTATGTTCTTTTAGCCAGATAAGACAATTGCTTTTCTTTTATTCATAGATCTTAGACATCTATATTATAGTAGGTGCAGGGTATACCATTGTTAACTAGGCATGCTTTTAATAGATCATTAGGTTGTGTTGATTTTTTTTCAAACAAGCAATACTTACTTATCCTTACATAACATCTTTGGATGTATAAATATGTATTCTTTTTATTTTTTTTACACTGAAGATTGAACCCAGGAGCATTATATCCCTGAGCTACATTCCCAGTTCTTTTTATTTTTTTATTTTATCTTGAGACAGGGTCTTGCTGAGTTGCTTAAGGTTTCACTAAGTTGCTGAGGCTGGCCTTGAACTTGCAATCCTCCTGCCTCAGCCTCCTGAGCTGCTGGAATTACAGGCATGCACCATCGCACCCAGCACATTTATTTTTTTATTGCTCTTTCTCCTTAGTAGACTCACAAGAGGTCAGGAATTTGTTTCTCCTCTGTTTTGTCCAGAGTGCTAGAATAGTGCATGGTACATATTAGGTACTAAGTAAATATTTGTTGAATGAATGTATGAATAAATTTTGAGTAAAGGGATGCATATAAATATTTTGATCTATGAATTTTATCATATTGTGGTTTAAAAAATTTCACAATAGAAATGTAGGAAAATTTATTAAGTATAAATTTTGGATAGTAGCTTTTCTTGTATTTCAAGTTCCAGATGTACTTTCCTTTCTAAATTTTCAGCTTCAGTTGTGGAGGGTCAAAAGGGTATCATTCCTCGTGCTATTGAAGAAATATTTCAAAGCATCTCGGAAAATCCTAGCATTAACTTTGTTATAAAAGTATCCTACATAGAAGTATACAAGGAAGACCTAAGAGATCTTCTGGAATTGGAGACATCCATGAAAGATCTTCACATCCGAGAAGATGAAAAAGGAAACACAGGTGAAGTAGCCTACTTAATTGATTGCCTTCATTAGCAAATAGATATGCTTTATTCAGTTTCTGGATATTCCAAAGAAACAAATGATAGAAGCAGAATGAATTTGTGTGTTTGTTTGGTTTTGGCACTGGAGATTTAACTAAAGTGTGCTTTACCATTAAGCTATATCGCCAACCCTTTTTAATTTTGAGATAAGGTCTCACTAAGTTGCTAAAGTTAGCCTCAAACTTGGGATCCTCCTGCTTCAGCCTACTAAGTAACTGGGATAACAGGTGTGTACCACTATGTCCAGCCTGAGTTTATTTTTAACTTTTTATTAATTAATTAACTAAAATTTGGGGTGCTGGGGATCAAACCAAACATCTTGCCCATAGTACACAGGTGTTATATCACTGAGTTATACTCATAGCCCCTTGTTTTTACTTTTAAGTTGAATAGCTTATTGATTATTAATCTTTTGATTATTAATTTTACGTAAATACTCAGGTGAAAAAGTAGTTCTTCTGATTAATTTCTAGTTCATGATAGTGATTTCCTATAATTGCCTTCCTCTGAATTGAACTCAAGTGTGACTGTGATATCAGCTACAATTATTTTTGTATATTTTCCCCAGAGATTGGGGATGACTTTTACTTTAGGTATTCATCCAGGCTGATCCAAAACTCTCCTTTCTTTCTCTTAAATTTTCAAATTTTTGTTCCAGCATTCCTATTTCTTTTTTTAAGTTTAGAGTTTATATTCTTTATGTTTTTACTTCTTTATATTGACATTTACCATCTTTTGTTATGCTTTTCAATGTCTGCCTTTCTGTGCTGGCAACCTTTTTAACTTCAGTAATTAATAAAAAATTGTTTGGAAATCGAAGATTACAATGGTAGGGTCAAAATGCAAGTTTTTTTTTTTGTTTGTTTGTTTTTTTAAACCAGAGATCGAACCCAAGGGCACTTAACCACTGAGCCACATCCCCAGCCCTTTAAAAAAAATATTTAGAGACAGGGTCTCACTAAGTTGCTTAGGGTCTCACTAAGTTGCTGAAGCTGACTTTGAACTCTTGATTTTCCTGCCTTAGCCCCCTGAGTTGCTGGGAATACAGTTGTGTACCAATATGCCCGGTTCAAAATACAAGTAGTTAAAAAAATAATGACTTTTGTTTTTCTGATTTAAAAGCTAGTATTTTCATTATAGTGCATTTTCAAAACAGAAAACTATAGGGAAGAAAACTAAAGATTGCCTTTGATCCCAGAACCTAGAAATAGCAACTTTCTCTCTCTTCTCTCCTTCTCTCTCTCTTTTTAAATTTATTTTAGTGTGTATGTATGTATGTGTGTGTGTCTGTGTGTCTGTCTGTCTGTCTGTCTGTCTGTCTTTGGGGATCCAACCCTGGGCCTCACATGCTAAACAAGTACTCTACCACAAAGCTACACCTCCAGTTTACAACTTCTCTTTGGTATGTTTCCTTCTAGATTTATTTTTCTGGATACGTGTAATTTTTTTTAAGTATATACTTGCACCACCCACCTCTTATAGTTTTTGCATTTTACTTTTATTTAATATTTATATGCATTTTCACATGTCATTAAATAGTTTTGAAACTTATGATTCTGTGGTCCTGTGGTAATTTGTCTTATGAATGTGTTATCATGTTTTATTTAAGTAGTGTTCCATTGTTGGCCATTTAGGCTGTTTCCAGGTTATAACTATTATTAATAACATTGCAACGAATGGGTTTTTTGGTTTGTTTTTTTCCTGTAAAGGTTTATTGAGAAAATGGGGTTCAGTCCTTCTTGGCAGCTGCTTTCCTCACGGAGGACATTGCTTAGCTCCTCTTGCTTCTTTTTAACGTGGTGGATGTGTCCCCATCCTTTTCTTGACAAACTTGAGGGCCCAATTGCCCTTGGAGATCTTGAATAGCTCCATGGCATGATGCCCATAGTGGGCACAGCCACACACCTTTCAGATCCTGTCCTGCATGAACTGGAATGCTTAGTAAGGTGCCTCCAATGGTGGCTGTGCTTTGACCTGTTCATGTTCTTGGTCACCATGGGCCTCTTGTTGACTTCCTAGTGCTTAGGAAAGGAAGATGGGCATTATCATTCAAATAGCAATCTGTAGGGGACTTTAGATCTTGCCTCTTTATAGACCCATCCTGGCAGTCCTGGTGTTTTTAGATGTCTGAAGAATATGATTTTTGTCTTATTTTTCAGAAAAAAGTAAACATGGTAGTTTATGATCTTATTAGGTAAATCACTATAATTTCTCTTGTCTGAAGAGAATTCAGACTGATGTTTTGAACTTCTTTATCATATGGAACAGAATTATTGAATGTTTTCCTTTATCAAAAAAATCACAAAAATAATATATACTAATTGTGAAGCATTAAACAACATAGAAGTCTATGCTATACTACTTGTAATAATTTAATGATTAAAATATTTCACAGCTGATATCATTCCTGCAAAGGTTTGGAAGGATGTACAAACAATCTTAAAATAAATTGCTATATCTTGTTTAATGGCCCATTCACAACCAAAAATGCATTTGTTTGACAAATTTCTTTATAGTACTTTTCTGTTTATTTTTTTTCTTTAGTACTTTCTTCTTTCTTTCTTTCTTTTTTTTTTTTTTTTTTGGTCCTGGGGATTGAACTCAGAGGTACTTTATACTGATTGAACTCAGAGGTACTGTATACAGGACAATTAGTATCAGTTGGGAGGCTTTTTTTTTTTTTTAATTCTTTTTAGTTGTAGGTAGACACAATACCTTTATTTTATTTTTATGTGGTGCTCAGGATCGAACCCAGTGCCTCATGCATGTTAGGCGAGCATTCTACCATTGAGCCACAACCCCAGCCCCTAAAAAAATTATATCTTGTACAGTTTAAATATTAAACTGAGTGCTGTCTGCTAAAATGAGTCCTTTGGGAGATTTTCTGAAATTGTTTAATGATGTTATTGATGTTACTATTTGAAATTTTTTTATTTTTAATGAAATATTTTAGCTGAGCTGTTTCACAAATGATAAGTGTTGTGTGGTTAGTTTAATTATATGGACTTTGATGAAATCTTGCTGTTGCTATTTCAAGTGATTGTTGGGGCCAAGGAATGCCACGTGGAGAGTGTGGATGAAGTAATGAGTCTTCTAGAGATGGGGAATGCAGCCAGACATACAGGTACCACCCAGATGAATGAGCACTCCAGTAGATCACATGCAATTTTTACAATCAGCATTTGTCAAGTTGAGAAAACTATGGAGGCATCAGAAGATGGATCATGGTATTCCCATCGGCATATTATCTCAAAGTTCCATTTTGTAGATTTGGCTGGATCGGAAAGAGTAACCAAAACAGGGAATACTGGTGAACGGTTCAAAGAATCCATTCAGATCAACAGTGGGTTGCTGGCTTTAGGAAATGTAATAAGGGCCCTTGGGGACCCACGTAGGAAGAGTTCACATATTCCATACAGGGATGCTAAAATTACTCGGCTTTTGAAAGATTCCCTGGGAGGCAGTGCCAAGACTGTCATGATAACGTGTGTCAGTCCATCTTCCTTGGATTTTGATGAGTCCTTAAATTCTCTGAAATATGCCAACAGAGCACGGAATATTAGAAACAAACCCACTTTAAACTTTAGCCCTGAATCAGACCGTATAGATGAAATGGAATTTGAGATTAAATTGCTTCGAGAAGCATTGCAAAGCCATCAGAGTAGTATCAGCCAAACTAGCCAGATCCCGCGAGAGGGCAATCCTGATAAAAACAGGATCCATTCTCTTGAGGAGCAAGTAACTCAGTTAAAAGGAGAATGCCTGGGTTACCAAAATTGTGTAGAGGAAGCCTTTACCTTCCTGATGGACTTAAAAGATGCAGTCAGACTAAACCAAAAGCAGCAACACAAATTGCAGGACTGGTTTAACATGACTCAGGAGGTCAGAAAGGCTGTCCTCACCTCATTTCAAGAAAACCAAGGAATTGGAAACCTGGAAGGAGGACCACAGCATATCACAGTTCTCCAGCTGAAGAGAGAGCTTAAAAAATATCAGGTACTCTATTTTGGAAATGTCTTTTAACATCTACCTTAATAGAAGATAGTTGGATTTTCATATGTGCCTTAGCATTTTTTTGCTGAAATTATTAGGAAAATCCAGTCTTATATAGATTTGTAGTTGGAAGGGGGTTGTATTTTAATAACTTTTTCAGGTAATTTTGAAAGTTATTTGATATTGCATCAAAATTCAAAGCAAAATAGAAATTTCTCGTGTTTATTTGCAATGTGGGTTTAGCACTGTTTTGTCATATTAATATATATATATATATACTAAAACCTACTTATTTTTTTCTAATCCTTTGAATGGATCTTTTATATGCACATGATTTTGAATCATCATTCACTGGTTATTTGGAAAATAAATCTTTAATATCATCAGTGATCTCATTAACAAAGTTGTTAAGAATTAGAAGCTGTCAAGCTCTTAGTGGAAGAAGCGTTTTCCAAAATTATGATTTTTTTTCCTGAAATTCAGGCTTTATTTGTAACAAATATTGATGGATTTCTTAAAATGAGAGGTTCTTATTTTCAAGAATATGACTGCCAACATATTCAAGTCTGGATAACCTTAGATTGTCATTCTTTTTTTGATACTAGGGATTGAACCCAGGGGTACTTAACCACTGAGCCACAGAAATCCTCAGCCCTTTTTATTATTTTGAGACAGGGTCTTGCTAAGTTTCTTAGGCCTACTAAGTTGCTGAGGCTAGCTTGGGACTTGGAATCCTCCTGCCTTAGCCTGGGGTTATAGTTAGTCATTCTTTTTTTAGTTGTAGTTGGACACAGTACCTTTATTTTATTTATTTATTTTTATGTGGTGCTGAGGATTGAACCCAGGGCCTCACATGTGCTAAGTGAGCTCTCTACTGCTGAGCCACAACCCTAGCCCTAGTTTGTCATTCTTTATGGGAAAAATAGTACTGTATGAAGAAAGTTGTTAGTTCTACTTAAAACTCAGCTGCACAGGTGCTTTTTCCATAGACAGCTGTTACCCTTCAATATGCAGCAGGAATATTTATGAATATGTTCCATTTTGTAAGGCTCAATAAATATCTCTTCTAATTTACTTTTCCTGTCTTTGTGCCTAGGGAGTTTAACAGTGGCAAGCTAAGGGATGAGATTTATAGACATATGTAGGGAAACATCCCAAAGGTTATTGTGAGGGCAGCTTGGTAAGATGGACTGCTTAAGGAGATTGCTAGCCAAGGTAACAAGGTGAGGCATGCTCTGCATGAGAAGAAGCAGAAATATTTTCTCTTCTCAGTCCTGCTTCTTGAGTCTATTAGGCAAGCAGGTAAGTGCTTAATTTTAAAAATTCTTGGCTAACATAAGATTGTAGACCATTTCACAGATGCAGTATTAGCCAGATTATTGTGAGGAAAGTAAGCATCATTTTGAGATCATCATCTCCTTTTTAGAAGCTGCCAGATAGTATTGCAGTCTGGTTTTTCACCATTAGTCAATTATTAGAATACTCTACCTCCTTATAAATACCTCTTAAAGGAATTTTTTTATTCCAAATTTTGGATATAAGAATAGTATGTATGGGCTAGGGTTGTGGCTCAGTAGTTGAGCGCTCATCTAGCACGTACAAAGCCCTGAGTTCGATCCTCAGCACCACATAAAAATAAATAAATAAAACAAAGATATTATGTCCAACTACAGCTGAAAAATAAATATTTTTTTTAAAAAAAGAATAGTATGTGAAGGTACATATTTTGAACAGATAAAAACTTTTTAAATAAATAATAAACCAAATAAAACTAAGTTATAAATAATTTGTACTTAAATATACCAAACTAGAAGTTACATTTTAAATTTCTCAATTAGTTGCCTACAGAAAGAAGATATTAACTAATGAGAATTATATCTTAATTTACAGATGTAACTATAGGTTATGCAGCCATAAAGCATTATAAGGATAATCAGCATCACTTCCCCTCCTAATTTGGTGAAGAATCCCAAACAGAAAAGGGACTTGCCTAGAGTCCTGCTATGAAGCTGTGATAAAAATCAAGGCTGGCTTTGGACCAGGGTTCCCAGTATAGGAGCCCATCCACTGCTGTGTCACCTCTGGATGAGTCATACACATACTGCAAACATCTACATTTTATTGATTAAATCTTTTTTGTAAAGAGAGCAGTATTTTTGTAAATGAACTAGTCATTCTTGACTATACCTGTCGCCTTGTAGAAAGAACATTCCTATGAAGGAAAGTTAGAATACGAATGAGTGTATTTTTGTGTGTGTGTGTGTGTGTGTGTGTATGTGTATGTGTATGTGTGTCTCAAAAAAGAAATAGGAGCCACGTGTGGTGGTCCATGCCTGTAATCCCAGCACCTTGGGAGGCTGAGATAGGAGGAGTACGAGTTGAAAACCAGCCTCAGCAAAAGTGAGGTACTAAGCAACTCAGTGAGACTCTGTCTCTAAATAAAATACACAGTAGGGCTAGGGATGTGGCTCAGTGGTTTAGTGCTCCTGAGTCTAATCTCTGGTACCAAAAGAAAGGGAGGTGGGACACCAGGCTCTGTGGTTCCTGCCTATATTCCCAGCAGCTCAGGAGGCTGAGGCAGGAGGATCATGAGTTCAAAGCTAGTCTCAGCAATTTAGCAAGGCCCTAAGCAACTCAGTAATACCCTGTCTCTAATTTAAAAAAATATATAAAAAAGGGCTGGGGATGTGGCTCAGTGGTTAAGTGCCCCTGGGTTCAATCTCCTGTACGTCCCCCCCCCAAAAAAAAAAAAAAAAGAAAGAAGAAATAGATCCCTAGAATTTAATCTCAGGGGTTTGGATACACTGTATCATCTTGGAAAGAGATTTAATCTCACTGAGTCTTAGTTTCTTAAATGTAAAGGAATCATGTCTACTCACTGAAATTTTTAAAATACTAAGCAGGGGAGCCAGCTGTGATGGTGCACTTCTGTAGTCCTAGCAACTTGGGAGGCTGAGATAAGAGGATAGGAAGTTTGAGGCCAGCCTCAGCAACTTAATGAGGCCCTAAGCAATTTAGCAAGGCCCTGTCTCAAAATAAAAATTAAAAGGGCTGGGATTGTAGCTTAGTGCTAAAGTGCACCTGGGTTCAATTTCCAGTACCCGCCCCCCAAATATATATATATATAATACATACATGCATATACACACAAAGGAGAGAGTCAGTATCTGGCATGAAGTAGGCCCTTGGCAAATAATTTTCTGTTTAACTTAAAGATTATTCAATAATTATTATTTGCATAATCCAAGTTTACTTTAAAACAGACTAGTTTCATCAGAAACAAAGTACTAAAACTGCTTAACCATCTTTTGAGGCTTCAAAATATATCTCTTAATAGTGAAAGAATACAAAATCTGCAAATATACTTTATTTAAATGTCCAAATATGTTCTTAAACTCTGTAGGTCAGTTTGGAAAATAAGAACTCTTTGATTTTTAAAAACCCACATTAAAATCTCACAATAATTCTTTTTTTTTTTTTTTTTTTTTTATTATTTTTTAATATTTATTTTTTAGTTCTCGGCGGACACAACATCTTTGTTTTTTTTTTGTATGTGGTGCTGAGGATCGAACCCGGGCCGCACGCATGCCAGGCGAGCGCGCTACCGCTTGAGCCACATCCCCAGCCCCTCACAATAATTCTTGCAGACTTGTAAAATGTTCTCTAGAACCTAGGTAACTATTTAATTAAACTAGATAAATAGTTTTCATATGCAGGAAATAAAAATTTCTGTCTTCATAGTAGTTAATTCCTATGTTACAACTATGATAGGTCCCTCAACTGTTTCTGTCTTTCTTAGAAACCAGAAAAAAATCAAAATGAAAAGGATAAGACGAACTTAAGAGACATTGTCAAGCTGTCATTAAATCATGATTTTTGTGGTATTATATAGGTTCTCCTGAGTATTTTCTGTGGTGAATATCACATGTGCCTTCTTTCCTTCCCAGTGTGCTCTTGCTGCTGATGAAGTAGTATTTAATCAGAAGGAACTGGAGGTGAAGGAACTAAAGGATCAAGTGCAAATGATGGTACAGGAAAACAAAGGACATGTTGTTTCTTTGAAAGAAGCTCAAAAAGTGAATAGGTTACAGGTAGGGTTTCTTAATATATTTAGCTCAGTAGATGTAATACTTAACTAATAGCTTTTAAGTGTAAGTGGGTTCATTTCCAAAAGGATATTTCAGTTGAAGAGTTCTATACTGAAAGAATTATAGGTTTCCCCCTTAATCTGCTTAAGGATTCTTTTTTTTTTTTTTTTGGTACTGAGGATTGAATTCAGGGGCACTCAACCACTGAGCTACATCTCCAGCCCTATTTTGTATTTTATTTAGAGACAGGGTCTCATTGAGTTGCCTAGTACCTTGCCATTGCTGAGGCTGGCTTTGAACTTGAGATCCTCCTGCCTCAGCCTCCCGAGCTGCTGGGATTACAGGCATGTGCCACTGCCCCTAGCAAGGGGAAAACCTTTTTATTGTTAGTGAGACTTCTGTTTCACAAATATAAAGATAATATCAATATCCAAGGACTTAATTTACAAATTATATTATAATTATCTTTTCTCCATATTTCTCCTCCAGTTGTTTACAAAGGTACTAGGTAACATGATATTAAGAGTTGGAAGATAGGGCTGGGATGTTGCTCAGTGGTAGAGTGCTTGCCTGGTCTCTGAACACCAGAGACCAGTCCTCAACACCACCAAACCAAACACAAAATATCTGAAAGATAAACGTATAATTTAAACTTTTTAATTTACTAGAGTATCTTTTTACCTATGGATGATTTGTTCTTTTTTTTTTTTTTTTTTTTTAGTACTGGGTAATTGACCCAAGGGTACACTATTAAGATGCCACATCCCAGCTCTTTTTTTTTTTTTTTTAATTTTTAAAATTTTGAGACAGGGTCTTCCTAAGTTGCCAAGGCTAGCCTCAAACTTGTGGTCCTCCTGCCTCAGCCAGGCATGAACCAAAAAGACCAGCAGTGATTTGCTCTTTAACTTTGGTTAAATCTTCCATATTCCGTTCCTATCATTAACATAGATATGTGCGCAGTTTAATACTGAGTATGAACCTTGGCAGTCACTCTCTAACCATCCCCACAAATAGTTAATATCATTTAAAGCCTTTAGTTTCCTATCAGTAAAATAATTAGTGCCCTAAGAAATAATCTGATCCAATACAAATTAGATTTTGATTTTAATATTATTTTATTTTTGTTTTATTTTTAACCCTTCTAATTGTGTAATTATGTTTGCATGTATTTGTGGTGTATAATGTGATAATCCAGTACATACAGTGTGTAATGATTAAATTAGGGTAATTAGCATTTCCATCTAACATTTGGACCTTTTTAACCCCTTTCCTCTAGTCTTATAAAACATATATGCTAGAGTGTTGTAGACTTTATAAAACATACTAGATTGTTGTATACATAAACTAGAATATTATAACTGTATATTATAACTATAAACTATAGTTACCCTACTGTACTATAAAACATTAGAATTATTATTATTTTTTTTTTTCTTGATATTGGTTGCACCCAGTGGTGCTCTGCCACTGAGTCACATCCCTGGCCCTTTTCATTTTTTATTTTGAGACTAGATATTGCTAAGTTGCCAAGGCTAGCTTCAAAATTACTATTCTCCTGCCTCAGCTTCCCGAGGATTACAGGCATGTTCCACTGTGCTGCATTTAGAATTTTTTACAAAATTGACACACAGTAATTGCACATATTTTATCAAATGAGAAAAGTTAGTATATTTATCACCTCAGACATATGTAATTTCTTTGTGCCTAGAACATTCTAAATCCTCTATACTAGCTATTTTTTAATGTAATTTTTTTATTTATATATGACAGCAGAATGCATTACAATTCTTATTACATATATAGAGCACAATTTTTCATATCTCTGATTGTATATATAGTATATTCACACCAATTCATGTCTTCATACATGTATTTTGGATAGTAATAATCATCACATTCCACCATCATTAATTACCCCATGCTCCCTCCCTTCCCCTCCAACCCCTCCGCCCTATCTAGAGTTCATCTATTCCTCCATGATCCCACTATGAATCAAACTCCTTATATCAGAGAAAACTTCTGGCATTTGTTTTTTGGGTTTGGCTGACCTCACTTAGCATTATCTTATCTAACTCCATCCATTTACCTGCAAATGCCATGATTTTATTCTCTTTTTATTGCTGAATAATATTCTTTGTGTATATGTGCCACACTTTTTCTTATCTATTCATCTATTGAAGGGCATCTAGGTTGATTCCACAGTTTAGCTATTGTGAATGGTGCTGCAATAAACATTGATATGGCTGTGTCCCTATAGAATGCTGTTTTTAAGTCCTTTAGGTATAGACCGAGGAGAGGTAAATGATGGTTCCATTCCCAATTTTCCAAGAAATCTTCATACTGCTTTCCATATTGGCTGCACCAATTTGCAGTCCCACCAGCAGTGTATGAGTGTACCTTTTCCCCCACGTCCTCACCAACACTTATTGTTGTTTGTATTCATAATAGCTGCCATTCTGACTGGAGTGAGATGAAATCTTAGAGTGGTTTTAATTTGCATTTATCTAATTGGTAGTGATGATGAACATTTTTTCATGTATTTGTTAATTGATTGTACATCATCTTCTGAGAAGTGTCTCTTCAGGTCCTTGGCCCATTTATTGATTGAGTTATTTGTATTTTGTTTTTTTTTTTGGTGTTTAGCTTTTTGAGTTCTTCATGTACCCTAGTTTTTAGTGCTCTATCTGATGTGTGAAGGGTAAAGATTTTCTCCCAAGATGTAGGCTCTCTATTTACCTCACAGATTGTTTCTTTTGCTCAGAAGAAACTTTTTAGTTTGAGTCCATCCCATTTATTTATTGATTCTTGATTTTAATTCTTGTTCCACAGGAGTCTTATTAAGGAAGTCGGGGCCTAATCCCACCTGATGGAGATTAGGGCCTACTTTTTCTTCTATTAGATGCAGGGTCTCTGGTTTTATTCTTAAGTCCTTGATCCATTTTGAGTTGAGTTTTGTGCATGGTGAGAGATAGGGGTTTAATCTCATTTTGTTGCATATGGATTTCCAGTTTTCCCAGCACATTTGTTGAAGAGGCTATCTTTTCTCCAATGTATGTTCTTGGCACCATTGTCTAATAAAAGATCATTGTAATTTTTTGGGTTAGTCTCTATTGGTCTACCAGTCTAATTTGGTGCCAATATCATGCTGTTTTTGTTACTATTGCTCTGTAGTATAGTTTAAGATCTGGTATAGTGATGCCACCTGCTTCACTCTTCCTGCTAAGGATTGCTTTAGCTATTCCGGTCTCTTATTTTTCCAGATGAATTTCATGACTGCTTTTTCTACTTCTATGAAGAATTTCATTGGGATTCTGATTGGAATTGCATTAAATCTGTATAATGTTTTTGGTAGTATGGTCATTTTGATAATATTAATTCTGCCTATCCAAGAGCAAGGTAGATATTTCCATCTTCTAAGGTCTTCTTTGATTTCTTTCTTTAGGGTTCTGTAGTTTTCATTGTATAGATCTTTCACCTCTTTTGTTAAGTTGATTCCCAAGTTTTTTTTTTGTTTGTTTTTGGTTTTTTTTGAGGCTATTGAGAATGGGGTAGTTTTCCTCATTTTCCTTTCTGAGGATTTGTCACTGATATAGAGAAATGCCTTTGATTTAATTCTTTTGTCTATCTAATTGGTCTGGCCAGTGTTTCAAGAACTGTGTTAAATGGAAGTGGTGAAAGAGGGCATCCCTGTCTTGTTCCAGTTTTTACAGGGAAAGCTTTCGATTTTTCTCCATTTTGAATGATGTTGGCCTGGGGCTTAGCGTAGATAGCCTTTAGGATGTTGACATATATTCCTGTTATCCCAAGTTTTTCTAGTGTTTTGAACATAAAGGGGTGCTGTATTTTGTCAAATGCTTTTTCTGTGTCTATTGAGATGATCATATGATTCTTATCTTTAAGTCTATTGATGTGATGAATTACATTTATTGATATCTGTATGTTGAACCAATCTTGCATCCCTGGGAGGAATCCCAATTAATCATGATGCACAATCTTTTTGATATGTTTTTGTATTCAATTTGCCAGAATTTTATTGAGTATTTTTGCATCTATATTCTTTAGAGATATTGGTCTGAAGTTTTCTTTTTTTGATGTGTCTTTGCCTAGTTTTGGAGTGATATTGGCCTCATAGAATGAGTTTGGAAATGCTGCCTCTTTTTCTATTTCCTGAAATAAATTGGAGAGTATTGGCATTAGTTCTTCTTTAAAGGTCTTGTAGAACTCGGCTATATATCCATCTGGTCCTGGGCTTTTCTTGGTTGGTAGACTTTTGATGACATCTGCTATTTCGTCACTTGAAATTGATCTGTTTAAATTCTGTATATCACCCTGATTGTATACTGGCTATTTCGAAATACTCATTGAAGCATAAGCCATATTTGTCATACTGTGCCATAGAACATTAGAAGTTATTTCTCTGTTCAGTTGCACCCTTGTGTACATTTATCATCTATGCATTTTTCTTTCCCAAATCCTCCCTAGACTCTGGTGGCAACTAAACTTCCACATACAGTTATGTCTTTCTGTGCCCGAATTATTTCACTTAACATACAGCCCTCCAGTTCCATCCATGTTGCTGTAAATGATAAAATGTCATTCTTTTTTATAACTAAATAATATTTCATTGTGCATGTATACCACATTTTCTTTATCCATTTATCTATTGGTGGATACCTATGATAATGGAATATCTTGGCTCTTGTGAATAGTGCTGCAGTAAACATGACATTGCAGATGGTTTTTTGACTTACTAATTTCAGTTCTTTTGGAAATATACCCCATAGTGAGATTGCTGGATTATATGATAATCCTATTTCTAGTTTTTTTTTTTTTTTCAGAATCTCCATATTGTTTTCCATAGTAGCTGTACTAATTTATGTTCCTACTGACAGTGTATGAAAGTTCTCCTTTCTCTGCATCTTCCCTAGCATTTGTTTTATTTTGTTGTGTTTTTCCTTTTTTGGGTGGGGGACAGGGTTCTGGGGATTGAACTCAGGGGGTACTCAACCACTGAGCCACATTCCCAACCCTGCTTTGTATTTTATTTAGAGACAGGGTCTCACTGAATTGCTTAGCACCTCACCATTGCTGAGGCTGGCTTTGAACTAGGAATCCTCCTGTCCTGGGCTCCTGAGCTGCTGGGATTATAGGCATGTCCCACCAAACCTGGCTGTGTTCTTTTTGATAATAGCTATTCTCATTGAGCTAAGATGATATCTCATTATGGTTTTGTTTTGCATTTCCTTGATAAGTAGTCTCCTTGGGCATTTTTTCATATTTCTGTTGGCCATTTGTATATATTCTTCTGGGCAATGGCTATTCAGATCATTTGTTCATTTTAAAATATTTTTAGTATTATGCTGTTGAGTCATTTAAGTTCTTTATAAATTTTGGAATCTGTCCCTTATTGGATAAATAATTTGCATATATTTTCTCCCATTATGTAGGTTGTCCTTTACTCTGTTGATTGATTCCTTTGTTGTGCAGAAACGTTTTAGTTTGTTATAATCCCATTTGTAAGTTTTTGCTTTTCCCTGAAATTTTTCTAGCAGTGTCAGATTGTAAGTCTTTCATCCATTTTTTTAGTTGATTGTTGATATGGTGAGAGAGAAGAGTCCAACCCCTCTTTATTTTTGGTTTCCATTTGCAGGGTTTATATATGAGTTGTGACAACCTGTGAAAAGTTTGTGTCAGGGAAACTCAGGAGAGACTTTGGCTATGATTTTCTTGAGGGCTGGTTATAAAGGTGCCTTCTATCTAGAACAGACTACTAGAAGGAAAGCAGGTGTTCAGTGTAAAACACATTGCTTGTACAGTTTGAGCATGATGAGCTATTGTTATCAGTTAGGAACTGTGGGAGGCCGCCATGTCATCTGACCAGCGTTTTCCTCTCCTGATCCGTTTGAGGCACTGTCGGTCTTCCCTGATGATCTGGCTACTTTTAAGTGGCTGTAGATGGTAGCCCTGATCTTGAGAGTAGTAAAAATGCAGCCAAATGTGTCTTCATGCAGCCCCATGGGTCGAGCTATGCTCACCTGTTCCTTTGTGATATTACCCTCTTGCCCTATTTGGGATAGAATGTGTGCCCTTCTCTCTCTTTTTTTTTTTTTTAATATTTATTTATTTATTTTTCGGTAGACACAACATCTTTGTTTGTATGTGGTGCTGAGGATCGAACCGGGCCGCACGCATGCCAGGCGAGCGCGCTACCACTTGAGCCACATCCCCAGCCCCATCTTTTTTTTTTAATATTTATTTTTTAGGTGTTTTTGGACACAATCCCTTTATTTTATTTATTTATTTTTATGTGGTGCTGAGGATCAAACCCAGGGCCTCACAAGTGCTAGGCGAGCACTCTACCGCTGAGCTACAACCCCAGCCCCGTGTGGCCTTCTCTTACTCTGGGTGTGGCCTTCCTAGATGTCAGTCAACCTGCTGACAGCCGATATCATGTGAAGCTAGACTCAGCACCTTGAAACCTGACCCTTTGCCTCATTTTGAATGGCTTCTACTCAATAAAAGGGGTCAGCACAAGCTCGCTCTCTCTGCGGACCCTTAAGGTCAGAGGAGCTGTCACAGTACCCCCAAATAAAAGGTATTTCTGTCTCTTGTGTGGTTATTTCATGCAGTCCAGTTCCCCTGGAGTGACCCCTGAGTGTTTTAGTAGAAAGGAACATGGCAAGGAACCCTCCCCAAATCTAAGTTCTCAGACACCTGACAACCTTGTAGCTGATTTTTTAAAGGATATCAGTCAAGTTTACTGTCAGCTCTTTTCTGCACTATTGTGCTATATTTGGTTTACTAATATATATATTTTTTAGGATTTTTGTGTCTAGGCTCACAAGTGAGATTGGCCTATATTTTCCCCTTATAATATTTTTCTTAGATATAGCAACAAGTTATTTGGCCTTCTAATATAGGTTTGGTAGTGTTCCCTTTTTCTAAACTTGGAAGAAGGATATGTGAAACATTGGTCTTATTTCTTCCTTAAATGTTTGAATTGAAAAAAATGTTTGAATTGACACCTAAAGCTTTTTGGATGAGAATTTTTCATTGTGGAAATGTTTTTTTTGTTGTTGTTGTTATTTTTTGGTACTGGGGATTGAACCCAGGGACATTTTACCACTGAGCTATATCCCCAGACGTTTTTATTTTTTATTTTGAGATAGCATCTAAGTTGCTTTTTTAAAAATTTTATTAGAATCTTCAGGCTGGGGATGTAGTATAGTGATAGAGCTCTTGCATGAAGCTCTAGGTTTGATCCCTAGCACCACAGAAAATATTTATTCATATTTTCAATATTGTAGATTTGTTCATCGTTTCATTATTTTCTGCCCATTATTTAATTTTTTCTACTTTGCACGGAGGGAGGTTGCTGTATTTCTAACTTATTTAGATGGATGATTAGTTCATTGATCTTTAACTTTTTATAATATATGCATTTAAAGTTATTCCTTCCTTCCTTCTTTTCTTCCTTCCTTCCTTTCTTTTTCCTTCCTTCCTTCCTTCCTTCCTTCCTCCCTCCCTCCCTCCCTCCCCCGACTTCTTTTTTAATCAAGATTGAACCTAGGGGCACTTAACCACTGAGCCATATTCCAACCCTTTTTCTTTTTTAAGACAGGATCTTGCTAAGTTGCTGAGTATTTTAGTCAGCTTTTTTTTTTTTTTTTCTGCTGTGACTAAATGACCTGACAATTTTAGAGGAGGAAAAATTTATTTGAGGGCTCACAGTTTCAGAAGTTTCAGTCCACAGATAGCTAGATCCCTTCCTCAAGGCTCGAGGTAAGTTAGAATATCAAGGTGGAAGAGTGGTGGAGGAAAGTCTCACATGATGATCAGAAAGCATAGAGAGAGACTCCACTTGCCAGATGCAAAATATATATCCCAAAGGTACCCCCCTAATGACTCACCACCTCCAACTACACCTTACTACATCCTCAACATCCTCAATTAATCCTATCAGGGATTAATTCACCTCTCTCGAAACCCAATCATTTCTCCTCTTAACTTTCTTGCATTGTCTGATACATGAGCTTTTGGAGGACATCTCACATCCAAACCAAAACACGGAGGCTGACTTTGAACTTGTAATCCTCCTGCCTCAACCTCCTGAGCAGCTAGGATTACAGGTATATACTACCACACCCACCTTATATAAGTCTTCCTAATCTTATCTTTACTTGAATTCTACATTCAGCTCAAAATATTTCTTAATTTTTATTTTGACTTTTCCTTTGACTTTTGAATTATAACAGTTATTTTATTTCTCTTTGGGGAATTTTAAATTTTATATTATTAACTTTTAGTTTAATTGCCAGTGGTCAGATAGCATACCATGCATGAATGATTTCAACACTTTCAATATATTGAAACTTGCTTTCTGGCTAAGTTTAAAACCAAATTTTGTTGTTGTTATAGTTGCATTTAGAAAGAATGTTTGTTCTGCAATCATTGGGTACAGTTAATCCTGTTATTCATATGTGTATTTTTATTCACTTTTTTCATCTTTTTGTTATGTCATTAGAGAGTGATGTTAAAGTTTCCCACTGTGATTTTTCATAAATCTTCATGTAATACTGATAATTTTTGCATTATATGTGTCAAAGTATATATAAATTAGGGGAACTGTTATTTTACCCTTGTGAATTGACATTTTTATAATTTTGTTACCCTCTTTTTGATGCTTCTAATGGTTTTTGAATTAATATCAAAATATCTATTTTGATATTACTGTAGCTGTACCAGCTTTTTTTATTGATTAAGAAAACTTGGGGCTGGGGTTGTGGCTCAGTGATAGAGCACTCACTTAGCACACGTGAGACCCTGGGTTGGATCCTCAGCACCACATAAAAATAAATAAATAAAATAAAGGTATTGTGTCCAACTACTTCTAAAAAATAAATGTATAAAAAAGTCTTATTTTTAATCTTGTCTATTTTAATTTATATTTATTATAAGCAGCATATGGTTAATTTTAAAAGTCCTCTCTGTCAGTCTTTGTCTTTACTACTATCTTATGTAGTTCATTCATGAATTTAGCATAATTGCTCTTATGTTTTGGTTAATAAATAATATTTATTCTTTCTGCTCTATCTATGTTCCTTTTTTTATTCCTTTCTAACCTTTTGGATCAGTTGGTTATTTTTAAATTTTTTGTTGTTTTCTCCATTAACTTATAAGTTGTACTTTTATTCTATTTTTTAGTGGATATTCTAGAATATATTGTTCATTCTTGACTTAAATTCTAATATTAATTAGTACTTTTGCCCTTTTCCCAGGCAATGTAGGGATTCCACTTAACACTTCTAACTTACATACTTTTTTTTTTTTTTTTTTTTTTTTGGTGGTGGTGATACTGGGGATTGAACCCAGGACCCTGCATATGCTAGATGAGTGCTCTACCACTAAGCTATATCCCCAGCCCTCAACTGACATACCTTTGGTGTTATTTCAGTTATCTGAATATATAGTTTTCAATAAGATTGCATTTTTATTGTATAGTATGAACAATGAAATTTTAGGTTTTTTCTTTCTCCCTATTAAACATTATAGTATACATGAAATATTGAGATGAATGACAGTTTTTTGTTTACATAATTTTATCTTGGTAAAACAAAGAGAGCTTTCTGGATTAGAAACACTTCAAAAATTTTCTTTAGGGACTGGGGATGTGGCTCAAGCGGTAGCGCGCTCGCCTGGCATGCAAGCGGCCTGGGTTCGATCCTCAGCACCACATACAAAGATGTTGTGTCTGCCGAAAACTGAAAAATAGATATTAAAAAAATTCTCTCTAAAAAAAAAAATTATTTAAAGGATACATAAAACACTACCTTCCTGCCACACACATGACCCATAATTCATTCTGCCTTTGATTTCCAAGTTTTCTTCCTCCCTGGATCTTTTGTGGCTGGTTATCTTTTGTTTCTTTGTACTTCTGATTTTCTTTTTCACTAATGAAAAGCTTTCACTTTACTGCACTTTCTCCTTTGCCGACATCTCTGCTATAATCTGATATTTTGTCTTTCAGCTTTCTTGTTTCTTCTTGGATTTTACTCCAAAAGTCCATTCTTCATGAGATAGCTAATTAAATTACTCCAATCACAGTGGCAAAATAACTAATCACAGTGGATGGGGTATAGTCTTTGAGTATTGACTTTTTTGGCTGCTTACTTGTTTACTATTCAAAAGATTTTTGCCACTTAGAATGGTACTAATTTGGGGCTGGGATTGTGGCTCAGAGGTAGAGCCTACCATGCATGAGGCACCGGGTTCAGTCCTCAGCACCACATAAAAATAAAATAAAGATTACAAAAAAGAGAATGGTGTGTGTGTGTGTGTGTGTGTGTGTGTGTATGTATGTATATATATAGATATATAAATTCATTCTAGAATAACCACTAAAAAAAAAAAAAAAAGAACACCAGAAAGCAGAAAGATAGCCTTTGGATAAATGAAGTTTGACTGTACTGTTAAGATAGTTGTGATTTTGGTCAATATAAAATTGATTATTTATTTTTAAAATATTTTTAGTTGTAGATGGACACAATACCCTTTTGTTTGTTTGTTTGTTTGTTTATTTTTTTTTATGTGGTGCTGGGGATTGAACCCTGTGCCTCATGTATACTAGCTAAGTGCTCACCACTGAGCCACGACTCCAGTCCTTATAAAATTGATTTTTAATTACATATGCTAAGGTTCTCTATTCAAATTCTCATCTCTGTTCTACAAAGAATGAAAAAATAGTAGAACAGCAGCTTCTTGTGGATCAACTGAGTGAAGAACTAACAAAACTTAACCTGTCGATGACTAAAGAAAGTTGTGGAGATGGGCCTGATGCCAGGATCCCTGAAAAAAGACCATATACTGTACCATTTGATACTCGTTTGGGGCATTATATTTATATTCCATCAAGACAAGATTCCAGGAAGGTACAGTTCTATTTTTTTCTTTGAGATTGAAAAAAAAATTGTTTATAGTATTATATTATGGGTAGTTCTACAGTCTTAGCAGTTTTTTTCTGTTTGGCTTTATGAACTTTTATGTATCTCTTTTTCTTACACTTGAGTGTGAATACCAACTTTGCTGTGTAGTCCTGGATGTTTGCTGAACCTGAGTAAGCATCTGTAAGGATGGGGTAACATGATGGGGCCCGTATAGAGGGTTTACATGAGATGCTGACTCTGAAGTACCTGCAATGCCTGGTAAACGGCATCCTCAGCATATGCATGGTGCCCCAGGCCCAAATGTCACAGAGTGAGTAAGATAGATACTATCCTTGCCTGTATGCTTTTCAGTTTTAAGTGCTTAGATTTTAAATTTTAAACAAATGTTATTATTTCAGTTGACACTTTCTTTATGGTTGAATATGACAGATTTTTTCATAGACTAAGAAGAAAGAAATTCTTTGTAGGCTTCAAATATCTATTAATTTATTTAATAATTTTTATCTTCTATATTTAAAAAGTCCTTTTCTTTCAATTATTGGTTGTAATTTGAAAATTTTTCTGTTTCTGTCCATTCTTTTATTTGCTAATTGAGGGTTTTTTTGTCGTTGTTGTTTTTTGCTTTTTGTTTTTGATTGTCTCTCTCTCTGGGGAGTTAGGGCTCCATGGGCTCTGCCAGAAGGGTTAAGTCATTTTTTTCTTTTTCTTTTTGTGGTACTGGGGATTGAACCCAGGTCCTCATTAAGCCTTTCTTTTAATTATATTTATTTTTCTAGTTGTAGATGTACACAATCACTTTATTTATTTATTTTTATGTGGTGCTGAGGATCAAACCCAGTGCTCTAGACAAGTACTCTACCACTGAGCCACAAGCCCAGCCCCATCTTTTATTTTTATTATAATTTTTTTTAATTTTTATTTTTTTATTAGTTACACATGACAGTACAATGGTCTTGACAATTCATATATTTGAATCAAATGGGCTATAATTATTCCTTATCACAAGTTGTTTGATTAGATCTGAAATAGACATGGAATAAAAACTTCCACAGTCATTGCTTCAAATAAGCAAATTTTTAGTTTTGTTTTAAAATATTTCCTTCTACCCTAAAAGAACCATCCATCAAAAGAAGGGGGAAAAGGAAGGAGATACAAAGGCCATATGATAAGCAGTTTGGGAATTTTCTTGCTCCTATTATGTATCTGGAAATCCTGGTCACCTCTTGTGTTTGTATCAGTCACTGCAGCAGCCAGGAGAAGTCAGGCATGATGGCAGGGCCCACATGTTCAGGTGTTGTTCCAGTGTTCTAAAAGTGAGGGGAAGGTTTCACTTCGAATACCAAAATGAGCTAAATTAAGCCAAATAGTACATCTAAAATGCAATTTAATTTTCTCCTGGATTTCTTCTCCTTGCCAGAAGTCTAGCTAATATTTTCCATCTCAAATATTTTTTTCCTGCTGTCTACCTCTAATATTTTCTTGAAGTAATTATAATCTGGCATGTGAAATATTTCCTCAGCTTAAAATACTTTCAGATGAAAAGGGGGGAAATGACTTTTAATCAATTTAAAATCAATTATATAAAGAATTTGAACTTTATTTTTTATATGCTTACTTATACATTTTGGAGGGAAAAAGTGAAAAGATCTTATTTATTTTAAAAGTATAATATTTGTCATACATGTATGTCATTAGTAGCTTTTCTCATTTAACAACATATTGTGAACATTTGATAGTCATTAAATATTCTCTCATAAGAGCATGATTTTAAATTTTTTGTGGCACCGGGGGTAGAGTCCAGGACCTCAAGCATAGGCAAGCATTCCATTGCAGAGTTACACCCCCAGTCCAAAACCAAATCTTGATTTAAACTTAAATAAACAGGGCTGAGGCTGTGGCTCAGTGGTAGAGCGCTTGCCTAGCATGTGTGAGGCACTGGGTTCGATTCTCAGCACCACATATAAGTAAATGAATAACATAAAGGTCTACACATCTAAAAAAAATTTAAAAATGAGTTCATTTAAAAAATAAACTTAAATAAGCAGATCTTATTTAGTGTTCATCATTAAGCTTGGCTGTTTGGTTTTCTTTAAAATAAGAAAAGTTAAAGGCAAATTACAATCCCAGAAAACTAAGTTTGACTCTGAACAAAAGGTTTTATTTGCTCTTGAGAGGACACCCAGACCCCGACAAGAAAAAACTTGATGCTTGTCAGTTACAGGACAGATCACCATGCTGGGTACATTATACTTGTTAGATATATACTTTTTGAGTTGGTTCTTCTGGGAAGACTTTCTCTCCCTCATAACATTTTCCCTCAAACTGGGAGCCGCCTAGAAAACTTTACCCCTTATCCATCATGGAGTTGATGTGATAGATGGTGCCATTTAGTGACCAACAGCAGGGTCACAAAAATCAGATATAAATAAGAGGATCTTTAGTAACAGGAAGGCTTTTTGAGGAAGGGATGTGTGAGGGACCTACTGTCAAGAGATTAAACTTTGAACTACCGTGCGATATACATATTCTACTATATGTTGTAATTTTAACAGCTTCTGTGATGTCTTGCATTAGTAAATTGAATGCTCATCTAAGATTTTATTATTTTTCTGAGAAGTCACCTAATGTTTGGTAACAGAGGTGATAAAATGAAAATACTGAGTAATAGAACCCCGAACAAAAGTATAAAAGCAATTTCTATCTAATTCATTGCTTTTGTTTTCCAGAGTCATTTTTTAAGCACTTGAAGTGCTTTTCCAATAGAAGCATGTTATAATATAGAAAATCCTTAGACTAGCACAGAAGATTTTTTTACCAATTATATATCAAACATTAAAACATTAATTCAGCTGTATCTAACTATCGTATGACAAGTATGAATATATGCATTCTGATTTTCAAATTGGTAATGTTTGTTCTGGCTGAGGGAGTGGCAGTAGTTCTGTATTTATTCCTATGAGGGGGGATATAGAAATTTAGCAATAATCTCACAATTCTCTAAACATTCTGGACAGGGAAGATTGAGGGGTGGGTATATTTGTTGGGAAGTACCTGTACTATGTTAAATTGGGATATTTTCCATCCGTCCCTTTGGTTTTATTTTATTTTATTTCTTTTTTGGTATCAAGGATTGAACCCAAGGATACTCAATCACTGAGCCACATCACCAGCCCTTTTTATTTTTTATTTTGAGACAGGGTCTCAATAGGTTGCGTACAGCCTTGCTAAGTTGAGGAGGCTGTCTTGGAACCTACAATCCTCCTGCCTCAGCCTCCTGAGCCACTGGGATTACAGGCATGCACTACCATGCCTGGTTGGTTTTATTTTTGAATACTATTTTCTATGAAGTTAATATTGAAGATAGAAGACCTTTCTAGAAGAGAAAGAGCTGTGTGGATTCTGAAAGAAGTATGTGTCCATGAGGCACAACAATATTGTGAAATTAATTTTGACCCTTTTTTAGGGAAGCATTTTTCACTGATTGTTTATTTTTTAAGTAACTATTTAATAACCTCTTTAAAAACATTTTGAAAATAGGATAAAATAAACATTTTAAAAAATCACTTTTTTTGTTGTTGGGTGGGGGAATCACTTGCAAGGTCTATACAAGCTCTCCTACATACTCTCTGGATCAAATATTTGCTGGATTTCGAACACGAAGTGAGATGCTGTTGGGCCATATAGAAGAACAAGATGAAGTCCTTCACTGCCAATTTTCTGATGACAGTGATGATGAAGAATCAGAAGGTCAAGAGAAATGTAGAGCTAGGTATGTTAAATATAGACTCATTTAATAAACATCATTATATTTATTACATGATGCAATAGTTTTTTTAATTAAAGTGTATCTTTTTCACTTAATAAAAGAGCAGGTAGTTTTTTGTTAAATGTACTTTCATCTAATATGTTGTGAAAATAGTGCTTGAACAAAAGTAACACGTCTTAGAATTGAAAAATAATTTTGCTTTCAGAGCTTTGGTAGTTATTAGATTCTAATTTTCAGAGGGAATTTTTTGGCTTTCTGAATTCTGCTTCCAGAATAGCAGCAAACATGGTGGACTTCCCACTGGATCCAATTTGGGGGACATCCTTTTATTTTGAAGAACATTAATAAGGTCCTGCTTTGTTTTATATAATTAATTTTTTAACATTACTGTTACTTCTTGGAGAAATTAATTTGAGGCTAGATTATAAACACAAATTACCCTTTAACTGGATTTTTTCTTTCTTTCTTTTTTTTTTTAAGGTGTAGAAGTCATCCGTGGATTAAAAAGCCAAGTTCTGTTTGTTCTCTTGTCGAGTTGAATGATACTCAGGATGAAGCACAAAAGTCAAGTTTGGGAAGTAAAGGTATACAGACTTTCTCAAATAATTTAAATTAGTGTTGTGAGAGACACTGCTTTTTTTTTTCAGTCAATAATTTAAGAAGTATCTATGAACTCTCAAAACTGGAACTTGATAGGAAAGATTTCCTGGTTGGTAGACCTTCCTTTGTATTCTCTTTTCTACCTATATTTTTCATAAAATTTTGTTCCTTAATAAAATTTTTTTCCTATCAGTTCTGTCTTAAGATACAGTCTCTCTTTGAATAGAGATTATATTTTATAGACTTGAGTTGATAATGCTTTGTACCCTTGGTTACTTTAAAGTACACTATAAGTAATCTTTCAGGTGTCTACTCTGCATTGGCACATATGCTTACCATTAGTGATATATTTAGTCTTAAAACCCAGTTGTCTGCTGGGTGCTTGTGATGTTTTAGAACAAAATTGATGAGTATTTTTATGCATCGCATAACAGCATCAAAAACATTTATCTTGAAACCAGGTGCATCTGTAATCCCAACTACTGGGTAGGCTGAAGCAGGAGGAGTGTAAGTTTGAGGCCAGCTTCAGCAGCTTAGCAAAACCCTGTCTGAAAATAAAAAATACAATGGAATGGGGATGTAGCTTAGTAGTAGAGCACCCCTGGGTTCCATCCCTTGTACTGAAAAATAAAAAATTATGTTGCAAAAACTATATAGTACAATAGGATAATTTAACTTATCTCTCTTTGCCGATGACTGAAAACTGGTCAATATAGAAAAAATAAGGTTATAGGGAATATAAATAACATGATAAGTGCTATAGTGTGAATAAAGAGAACATCTGTTTAAGAGCCTATGTGTATAATATTTACCAAAAATCGATTATAAATAAAACTAATCTCAAAATGTAGAAATAGTAAAGATGTTATTTGAGTTGTTATTCTTGAGCCATTTGTTACTTGTCTGCAATCAGAAAAGAAACTTATGCCTGAATATAAATAAATATACTAATTGAGAAAGCCTAGCCTTGAAAGAAAAAAAAAAGTAAGCCAAACTAAAACAGATGCTAATGACAGTGTTGTTTTACATTCTTATAGTGATGCAATTTTTATTTCCTTGCCAGCGCACCCCATGTTAATTGTGGTAGTGCTGACATATCTTTGCTAATGGTGTCACCAGTGATGCAATTTTTCCCAAGGAGCCATCAATTGGCTTGGTGTCGTGGCATTTCTGTATCCTCCTCCCTTCTGCTAGTGATGGTCTAAAATTTGGGGGCCAATGGCTATATGCTGGACCGGTAGTCAGTGACGGGTATGATCCAATTGCAGTGGTATCAACCTAAGACAGGAGGCTGACGCCTAAAGGTCAGTTTTCCGATGACGGGTAAGAACCATATGTTGAATTGGACAACCTACCAGGCACGGTCCTTAAGCCACATTAACCTCACTCCCCACTGGCACCAAGGCCAAATTTGGGGGCCAACAGAGGTGAGGCAAAGAACCTCACCCTCCCACTGGTGCATAGACCTATCCACAAGTATGGCTGTATGCTGGACCGGTAGTCAGTGACGGGTATGATCCAATTGCAGTGGTATCAACCTAAGACAGGAGGCTGACGCCTAAAGGTCAGTTTTTCCCATGACGGGTAAGAACCATATGTTGAATTGGACAACCTACCAGGCACGGTCCTTAAGCCACATTGCTTGTTGTTTAATTAATCAGAAGGGGGGAGATGCTGGGAGCCATTAGCCAAGTAGGTATGACAATTTCCTTGCCAGCGTACCCCATGTTGCTTAGTGGAAGGACTCGTGGAAATAGGACATTTTGCAGTGACATTGCATGTAGGTGACCTTGCTCAAGGACCAGGGCGGATTAGGGTGTTCCCGGTTTAGGATAATCGGGTTTAGGGCGTTCCAGGTTTAAGATTATTCCTGCTGGGAATAGGGCGTATCCTGCTGCCTGAGTTCCCCTTGAGTTCTCACGGGATTCAGACAGTATTTTTTGGGACAGAAGCCCAGTGGAGGTGGATTTGGGCAGAGAACGTGGATTTCCCCAGAACGTGATTGTAGACGGCTGGTGTGAGTTCGGGAATAAAGAGTTGCTGTTTGAATCTACAAGCTGTGTGGTGGCTCGTGATTTTGTGCCCAGCCAGACTGTGGCATTTGTGCCCAGCCAGACTGCGGCACATTCTGGTGCAGGACATTGACAAACATTGCTGGACCACACTCTCAGAAGCAGGATATTCGGTGCATTCTCTGTTCACAAGAAAACTAGCAGTTAATAGGAAAAAACTCACCCCTCTCCCCATCTGGAGATTTTATACCTATCTCAGAGAACTCATGTCAAGCGCAATGACCAAGTATCCAAACCTATGAGATACAACTAAAGCATATTTTAAGGAAATAAAAACTCTGTCAGCCAGAAAGCTGAAGTCTCAATTCCTATGTATTTTGTTCCTCTTTCCTTCCCTTCCTTTTTGTCCTCCCTCTGCTACCTCTAAACTGTTTTGTTTTGCTTTTCTTTTAGTTTGTCTTGGTACTGGAGATCTCCAACCATTTTTATTTTTTATTTTGAGACAGGGTCTCACTTAACTGCTGAGAGCCTAAGTTGCTGGGGCTGCCCTCAAACCTGAGATTCTCCTGCCTCAGCTTCCCAAGTTACTGGGATTAGAGTAATGTGCCACCACACTCGGTTGTTCTTCTTTTCTTTAAAACCCTACTTTTGAATATTTTATGATCAGGAATATTTTTGTTCTCAGTTTTGTTATTTTTATTTTAAAGATTTAAAGATTGAATATCTCCGGGAGAGTCAAGAGTTGAATTTGCAAAAATTAAAGAAATCAGAACTCATACTTAATGAAGCTAAACAAAAAATGAGAGAACTTACAATTAACATCAAGATGAAGGAAGATCTGATTAAAGAATTAATAAAAACAGGTAATAGTGTCCTATGAACAGGTTATATGAGAGAGAAAACTTTTAAAATTGCTTTTGATGTGGTAACATTTACTGTACTTTTTGAAGCTCAGCACTATGCAATATAGACTGGATTAGGTATGGCAAGGTGTGTTTTAGAGCCAGTATGTGGAGGTTAGTTATTAAAAGAATTTTATTAGGGTGGATTTTATCTATAATGTGTTCTAGCCAGTATGAACTTTGTGTTGTGCTGAAACTCTATGACACTTGATATTTTTCCCATTTAAAAAAATACTAAACATCTAAGAATACATCTGAGATGTTATTCTAACAAAATTGTAATAATTATTTGTTTTAAATTATTAATCATGGGCTGGGATTGTGGCTCAGCGGTAGGGCACTCGCCTAGCATGGGTGGGACCCAGGTTCGATCCTCAGCACCACATAAAAATAAAGGCATTGTGTTGTGTCCATCTACACCTAAAAAATAAATAAAAATTTCTTTTAAAAAATTATTAATCATCATTGACTTAGTTTTTGTTTTGTATTGGAAATTGAACCCAGGGGTGGTCATCCTCAGGCCTTTTTTTAAAATTTTATTTTGAGACAAGTCTCGATAAGTTGCTTAGGCTGACTGAACTTTGATCCTCCTGCTTCAGCCTTCCAGGTTGCTGGGATTACAGGTTTGTACCAGCTACACATGGCTGGACTTAGTTCATTTTTAATGTTAATTTTTAACATTATATTTTAGATGGTGGTAATTTTTATTTCTCTAAAGACATGAGGATTTGCTCTTGGGAGCTGTTCTCCTAGGTGAGCCAAGTTTTTAGCTCTTTGTCTCACATTCTGCTTGATTGGGTTATGTATGGTATCCTCTCCTTGTCCTCCCCCAAATTAGGTTTGCCTTACAAAGGTCAATTTAGACTTTTGATTTTTCTTCCCCAAATACTCAAAGGATCAGCCTTGACCACTTTGAAATTCAGTAGAAAATTAAAAGAATAAAAGACACTAGCATTTCTTTTCCGTAACTCCAACTATCTGTTCTCATTGGAGAACTGAAGGAAACATTATCTTCATTTTTTTTCAAGCCCAAGAGTGTAATCACAAACTACATACATTAAGATGAGCCTCACATCTGCTCTCAGCAAGAAGAAAGCTGCTTTCCCACTTGTCTTTCCTTCAAATTTGATTTCTAGCTGTTGATTCTCCTTTCTTAACCTCTTCTGCTTTGCCAAAGCTTTTCTCTTCTCTTCCTCATTCCTAGTGACACATGTGTTAGGCGTCATCCTTACTTTACCTACCAGATGTTTTGAGTTTGATAATGCTCATATCTCACAGGCAGGATCAAATGCCATTTGACTCCTCATAGGAATATCTAGGAGTTGATCGAGGGGTTGAATTGCCTTCTCCATCCATAGAGTTTCAGGACAGTGCCTGTGAGAATATTTATCCCTAGAATAAATAATTTTTTTTCAGGGTTGTTATCTCGCCATGAATCTCACTGAACAAGCATGCTTTTCTGCCTGGTATATCTATTTTTGTTGCTTTAAAACAGGACACCTAAGTGTACATAGAGTCTTCTTTTTCTTACTCATTAGGACCAAGAACACTTTGGAAAAGCTGGGTGTGGTGGTGCAAGCCTGTAATCTCAGTGACTTGGGAAACTGAGGCAGGAGGATCACAAGTTTGAGGCCAGCCTCAGCAACTTAGCAAGACCCTGTCTCAAAAAATACAAAAAGGGATGGGTATGTAGCTCAGTGTTAAAGTGTCCTGAGTTCAAACTCTTAATACCAAAAAAAAGTTTGAAGCTTTCCTAAAGATCCTCAGAGATAGTGACTAGCAAAAGGGTCACGGTGTGCTTACTTTTCAAGTAGCAACTACTACAGCCAGCAATACAACAGCACATGTATATTGTATTTCATCAATTCTCATATACTTTTTTCCATATCTTAATATCTGAAATCAGAATGTGTCTTACAGTCAGTGGCAGTTTAGCATTTTATCATTGTATAATTGGCACTGTATTTTTTTTCTTGATAAAACGTTGGTCTGTTGAATGATTGATGAACAATCCAAGATGATTTATTTAAATGCGCTCTAGTTTTATGTATCTATTTCAGAGTTCCATGGCTTAAACTCAGGACCACCTTATACATGCTATGCATACACTTTGTCACTGAGCTATACTCTATACTCTCAGTCCCCAGTTATATGTATTTTAGTCAGATATTCATAGTTCACTGTGTGTTTAGTTCAGTAATTCCTTTTCATCAAAAATTATAAGATTTTTCATGTAGCAATGTAACAAATTGTATAATAGTGTCATAAACTGTCCCTGGTGATTATTTGTTCCCTGAACTCTAGATTCCTATTTCCATGAGTTTGTCAATTTAGTTCAGAGACAGTTTTCATTCCAGAACAAATCAAAACCAAATGTTTAGAGTCAATACTTGGGCTTAAAATGAAAAGAAATATAGAATTTTCTATATCATGTTTTTCTCTTATGTTCTAAATATTCACAAAGTATTTTAAAAGAATTCATCTGTAACAAGTCAGTGTAATCAAAAAGGAGAGAATCTGTCTGCTCTAGATTAAAAGACTCTTTAAGAGACTTAAGAATCAGCTGTATAATAGACCTTGTTTAGATTCTGATTAAAAGATACGTTGAGATAATTGGGGAAGCCTAAATATGAATTAGTAGGTATCAGTATTGTTAGTCATTATCAGTATTGATATGACTTTATGGTTATATCCACATTTCATATAGATGCTTATTGAAATATAAACATAAGATGATATAACATTTGGGATTGTTTTATATATTAAGCAGATATAATAAAAGAAGACTTAATTGAAGCAACTGACAGAATGTTAATAACTCTTGAATCTAAACAATGGGGATTCATTTTATTATTTTCTTTTGATACGTTTAAAAATTTTAATGTTTTTGTTGGGCACCAGGTGCACACCTGTAATCCCAGCAGCTTGGGAGGCTGAGGCAGGAGGATCATGAGTTCAAAGCCTGTCTTAGCAAAAGCAAGGCACTAAGCAACTTAGTGAGACCCTGTCTCTAAATAAAATAGGGTTGGGGATGTGACTCTGTAGTGAAGGGCTCCCAAGTTCAATCCTCAGTATCCCCCCAAAAAATAAATTTTAATAATGTTTTTAAAAATTCAAGAACACAGATTGTGAGTATCAGGAAGCCAAAGTGTACTGAGCAAGAGGACAAGTCACCCCAAATATCCTTTTAACTGGATGTTGATGCAAGAAAAACTCAACTGCAAATTCAGAGGATTAGAAATGCCACACTAAAACACAGAACTAGTGAAAAGATTGAATGGCACCAGATGGGAACAATCATTAAGGAACTAATTATTTAAGAGTCTTGGTGGCAAGCTGTGTTTAATAGGAGTGGGTGGGGACAGCTGGGTTTTTAATGTGATGCTTAAATGGTAACTCTGCCCAGCTGGAGTTTTAGAATAGAGATTTTTATGTTTTTATTTTTTTTTATGTAATTCATAATTGTTATTACTGTCATTATGGTGAAGGTAACGATGCCAAGTCTGTAAGCAAACAGTATTCTCTGAAAGTAACAAAACTAGAACATGAAGCAGAACAGGCAAAAGTGGAATTAAATGAAACACAAAAGCAGCTACAGGAACTGGAAAACAAAGATCTTTCTGATGTTGCTTTGAAGGTAAAGTTACAGAAAGAGTTCCGTAAAAAGATGGATGCAGCAAAGCTAAGAGTCCAGGTAACTAAGAAACTTTTTAAACTCTTCTTTGCTTAAATAAGATATTTTTCCTTATTTAAGGATCCTGCTTTGAGGATTCTTGTACCATGTTAGGAGAGAAGAAAGACATCCAGTTTTTACCAGTAAGAGAAATTGGGTGGCAATTTTCTTTCCCATTGTGCTGGTTGATTTACATAATTGACAATCTGAGTAGTTTTTTATTTATTCGAGAAGTGTTTTATTTTAATCTTGGTATCAAAAACCACATGGAGAGAAATAAAGAATAACCAAAGAAATAGTATCCTTTTCTGAAGGACAAAAGATTAAATAATGGTTTAAAATGCATCAGGTGCTTTGTGGACACTCAACAAATGGGAATTGTTTAAATTATAACTGCGTGGTTTAAGAAAGGTTAATAACATTGGATCCTACAACTCAACCTTAATTTTCTAATGCCTGAAATTTAGCTGTATTTTCAGAAATGGCTACAGTTAAACTTTTCATTCTAGGACTGATGATGTAACCCAGTGGACTTGACAAATATGTGTAAGACCCTGGATTCTGTCCCTAGCTTAAAAAAAGAAGAAAGAGAGAAATATCTTATTACAGAGAGATTTCGTATAAGGAAAACGTTTCAGGTTCTTTGAGGATAGTCCTTGTTAGTTTGGTCAAAATGAATTTTCTGGAATGCTTCTCCATTTCTTTTTATATCACAATATATTGCTTTCATATTGTAATATGCATATTATTTCCATTGTAGGTAGAGTTGAAGGGTAGTTAACTTAGAGTATTATTATTATTGTGGGAGGAGAACTGCCTCTGTTATTTTTTTTTTTTCCAACAAGATGTCTACTACACATCTCAGGTGGGGATGCAGAGATAACTGAACCAGAGTCCCTCCCCCTATGGTTTCCAGTGCAACCCCAAACATATAGACATCTCTAACCATATAGACTGTTAAGTTAGTATCACATTAAAATAATAGGATTTGAATGTTTGAACTTCTTAAAAAAGGGCTGGTGGTTGTGCATACCAGCTTCCATTTTCTTCAAAACATTTATTTCAACTTAGGAAATTGAGAGTCTTGTGATTGAATTATTTTTTCCCCTTTTTTTTGGGGGGGGCGGTACTGGGGAATGAACATAGATAAGATGATCTACCACTGAGCTACATCCCCAGCCTCCTTTTTATTTTTCATTTTGAGACAGGGTCTCACTAAGTTACTTAGGGCCTCAGCCACCTGAGTTGCTGGGATTATAGGCATGTGCCACCACACCCAGCCTTTTTCATTTCTTGATCCTTTAAATTAGGGCCACGATATTAAACAAAGTACTCATTTTAACAAGATATTAGGAGAATAAAACAATTACATTTTTTTCTTGTGTTTATTATGAAATTTTATTTATAACTTCATAGATTGATATCCTAGCTTCAGTTCTGATTGCAGTTCTTAGTATCACTAATAATCAAAATTATTATTTTTCTAAAGCAGTTATGTTTACATCTGTAGTTTAAGTATTGTTAATGGATTTAACAAAGATGATTTTTATATTTTCTAATCTGATATAACTAAAATGGTTGAGTTTAAAGATTATTATTAGGGCTCGTGAACTATCATATCTGTTTTTCCTTTTTCTTTGTGTGTATCTTTTTCTGCCAAGGCTGCTGATAAGGAAAGGAAAAGGGAGTTGCAGAACTTAACTTCAGAAGAAACATTTGATACAGTGGTGGACCGAAACAAATATGTAGTTTTAGAAATTTTGTTCCTTTGACATATTTATGCAATGCTGATGATGAGGATAGGATGACTCCTACTGTTTGTTGAGTGTCTATATGTACCTGATGTCTATATGTATTTTTTAATATTTATTTAATCCCATTAGGTGGGTATTTTTACCCTCTTTATAAATGAGGAAATTATGTTTTAGAAAGATTAAATAATTTACTCAGTCACATAGTAATGATAACAATATCAATTTTCAGCAATCTAATCTAATGTGCCATTTTAATCTAATCAATCAATCTACTGTGCCATTTTAAAATATTGAAACATTAACATTTTTATTGGTATAATGCTATTGTTTCCATTTTTAAAACTTAAAAAAATTAAATTTTTAATATCTAAATTTTGTATTTTTATGTATTTAGATATATGTAGAGTTATATGTAGCATTAATAGTTTAATGCTAATAAAGGTGCCCTTTTGAATACCTATACAAAAAATAATAGCAACTGTATCTGACTTTTAAATAAGTTTATCAGAATGTATGGTGATATTTTTAATACTTATGAAAAAGATAACCAAAATGTTGGTATTATAATGGACTAGTATTACAGTTACTGTTGATGATAGTGGCAAAGCCAGTGTCCAAGTATGGGAAATTGCAAAGGCCTGTGACCTGCAAAGCCATGGTATCTGCAGATTGTTAGTTTTTCGTCTATAATGGGATACGGTCTGTGGTGCACCTCTTCCTTCCTCAAGAATGTCTTGTATGAAAATAACACCAACTTAATCTTTAACACTGTGAGTAGCAGTACAGACAATAATCTGTGAACTAGTACTTGTCCACAAACCACATTTTGAGTAGCACTGCTCTAAGCTGCAGTAACTCTGTGACTACTTAGTTTAATTAAAACAAAATATGCTTATGGTAACAGCTATTGCTAAAATAAAGAAAATAATTAATTGTGGTCTGCATAATTTACAAATGACCTCTCCTTAACTTTTTATGCCACTTAGGAAGTACTTAGTGCAATGCTAAAATACATAATATAAGTGTAATTGTGTTAGCTTTTCATTGCTCTAAACAAAATACCTCCCAATAACAACATAGAGGAGGAAAATTTTATTTTGGCTCATGGCTTCAAAGGTTCATTTCTTCGACTCCATTACCCTGGACCCAAATCGGTGAGGTAGAACATCATGGCAGAAGGGAATGGCTTTGCTCTATTCCTGGTGGCCAGGAATGGAGTGGGGGGAACGACACATGACCAGGGAAAATTAACACTTTCAGAGAACACCCCCCAAGGACCCACCTCTTCCAATTAGGATGGACTGATTTGGTTACAGCTGTCATTATCGAATCATTTGACCTCTGAACATTCCTGCTTTGATGCAGGAGCTTTGGGGAAACACCTTGTATCCAAACCAAAAGAGTTCATTTGTTTGATCAGGATTAAATTGTAGTCCTGATTTTAATCCAGCTGTTTTATATTAGTAGTGTAAACACTTTGAAAATGTTAGCAAAAATTTGGGGCTGGGGTTGTGGCTTAGCATGCACGAGGCACTGGATTCAATCCTCAGCACCACATAAATGTAAAATAAAGATATTGTATCCACCTAAAACATAAAAAAATAAATATTTAAAAAAATGTTAGCAAAAATTTAATGCTATCTATAGATAATTTTAATTAATGTTAAAATAGTAGCTATAATGGTCATTTGTAGGGAAAATGTTATCAGTTCTAACCATCTGAATTCAGGGATTAGTAATTTAGGCTAACACTGAATATAAAAATAACAGCACAATAGAATACTGTGCAGTCACACAGAAAGAACAAAGACTTCAAAGATAAGTAGCAAAAAAGGGAGGTTAAGAATTGTCTATGGTAGTATACACATGAAAATATTTGTATACATATGTGTAAATTATATAAAGAGTAAAGAATTGTTTGTGAACCTACCAAAAATAAGTGAAAATGTAGGAAAAATGGATGCCATTACTAATGAATGAAAAGATTAAGTTTTGTTGAGGAATGTGAGAGATGTACTTTTTCATTTTGAAATATTCTGTATTATCTCAGATCTTACAGAAGAAGCAACAGGATAGTAGGAAATTAGCATCACTGTCAATCCAAAATGAGAAACGTGCTAATGAACTAGAACAGAATATAGATCACATGAAATATCAAAAGGTAAAGCTGCAAAAAAGACTTCGAGAAGAAAATGAAAAAAAGAAGCAGCTGGATGCAGAAATTAAGCGGGATCAACAAAAAATCAAAGTAATATTGTCATACATTCCTGCTAAGTGTAATATGAAATGTTAAACGGCTCAGAGCTAACGAAGCCAAGGTCTTGATTCATTTGGCTTGTGAAGTGTCTATCCTTGACCTGTCCTTCACTGCTGTCCTTAATTCACTTTAAAGCTTTGTTCATCTACATAGTAAAACCTATTTATTGAATTCTGAGTACTGTCTTGAAGCCTTTGACTTCACAAAAAAAGGTACAGTGATAAATTTCTCTTAGTGGGATCTTTAGTTGAGGCTGCCAAAACCATAAATTTATAAAGCTTTCTAATTAATATCATTTGAATAAGATTTCCCATTTTCAATGCTTTGAAGTGCCTTTGCCTTGGTCATGTGGCTACATGGAAAAAATACCAGGTTAAATGGTAACATTTCATTCATAGTGAGCAGAAGAATGATCAGACTGTAAGCCCAGCAGTTCCATAGAATGGATAACTGGGGAGGAACTGATGGTGTCAGCCTGGGCTCTGGACTCAGATTAACATTAGGTTCAAATACCAGCTCTCTCACCCTGGCTGAGGACTTTATTGAGAAAATCATTCACCCTCTCTGAGTCTTTTATTCTTACTAAAATGGCCTTAATTATACATTGCTTACAGGGCCTTTTTGAAAAAGAACAACAAACACTTATCTATCACTGTGTACTATGCTGTAGTGTGTTGAAATAGTGACCAGCAAACAAGGCTTAAAATATAACTGGAAACTTCATAGATTTTTTAAAAATTAAAACTTTATATATTTTTAGAGAAGTTTTAGATTTTCAGAAAAATTGAGAGGAAGATTTCCCCTTACTGCACACATGTATAACCTTCCCCATTAGCAATACTCCCCAGATTTGTTAGATTTTAACATTGGATATAGCCTATTTTCATATCATAAAAAAAGTCACAAAATCTATGGGAGGGAACTTAAAGAACATTTACTTGTTCTTTTCTAAAAAGCAATTTTATTGAGATATAATTCATATACCATATATTATTAGTTCTTATAAGGTATGGTAAAATATATATGAGTTTATAATTTTAAATGTACAATCCATTGGCATTAATTATATTCACAATGTTATGCATCCATCACCTTTTCTTTTTCCAAAACTTTTCATCATCTCAAAGAGAGATTCTATAACCATTTAGCATCTTGTTTTCCTCCAGCTCCTGAAAACTACTTTTTGTCTGCATGAACTTGCTTTTTCTAGATATTTCATACAAGTGGAATCATATACTATTTCTACTTCTGTGTCTGGCTTATTTCACTTAGCATGTTTTTATGCCATGTTGTAGCATGTATCAGAACTTCAATTCCTTTTATAGTCAAATAATCTTACTTTGCAAAGCTAGGTACAGTGGTGTATATCTGTAGTCCCAGTTACTCAGGAGGCTGAGGCAGGAAGATCTCTGGAGCCCGAGAGTTTGGGGTCAGCCTGGGCAACATAAAAAATTTTAAAAGTTCATTGTGTAGATATACCACATTTTGTTTATCCATTAATTCATCAGTGGACACATGAATTATTTCTACCTTTTGGCTATTATGAATAATGCTACTATGAACATTGTCATACAAATAACTGTTTGAGCCTCTGATTTTGGTTTCTGGATAGATACCTAGGAGTAAATTTCTGGATCGTATGGTAATCCTATGTTTAGCTATTTGGCAAACTGCCAGTGGTTTTCCATAGCAGCAGTAGCATTTTACATTCCTTGTAGCAATGTTTGAAATTTCTAATTTCTCCCTATCTTCACCAATATTTGTTATTTTCTTACTTTTTTTTTTTTTTTTTTTTTTTTTTTTAGTCATCCAACTAGGTATGAAGTAGTTATCATACTGTTTTGGGTTTTTTGTTTTTTTTTTTGGTACTGGGGCACTCGACCACTGAGCCACATCCCCAGCCCTATTTTGTATTTTATTTAGAGACAGGGTCTCACTTAGTTGCTTAGCACCTCACTTTTGCTGAGTCTGGCTTTGAACTCGCAGTCCTCCTGCCTCAGCCTACCGAGCTGCTGGGATTACAGGCATGTGCCACTGCACCCAGCTTTATCTTACTGTGAGTTTGATTTACACTTTCCTAATGACTAGTAATGTTGAGCATCTTTTCATTGGTTATTGGCCATCTTCTTTAGAGAAATGTCTATTCATATCCTTTGTCTAACTTTTCAATTGGGTGTGATTGCCTTTGTTGTTGAGTTGTAGGAATTCTTATATTTTGGACATTAAATTCTATCAGATACATCATTTCCAAATATTTTTTCCCATTTTATAGGTGTAGTTAAACTTTTTTTTTAAATACTTGAATGTAGCACTTCACTGAACTATATCCCCATCCCTTTTTTTTCCCCTTCTTTACTTTGAGACAGGGTCTCACTAAATTGCCCAAGCTGACCTTGAATTTATGATTCTCCTTCCTCAGTCTCCCAAATGTTGGGATTCCAGGTGTGTGCCACAGTGCCCAGCTATTTTTTCTTTCATTGCTTGTGCTTTTGGTGTCATATCTAAGAATTCCTTGCCAAATCCAAGACCATGGATAATTACTCCTACATTTTCTTCTAAGAGTTTTATGACTTTAGGTTGTTCATCTACTTTGGGTCAGTTTTTGTATACGGTATGAAGTAGGGTTCATTTTTTTCATTGTGGAACTCCAGTACCATCTGGTGAAGACACTATATTTTCCCTGACAAATGGTCTTGACACACTTATCAAAAATAAGTTTGCTTGGGAAATGGGAAGATGTTGGTAGAGTACAAAGTTGGGAGTTATCTAGGTTAAGTCCAGAAAGCTAATAGATAGCTTTATATGCCTGTATTTAAAAACACTATATTTTAACACTGAAAAATTGCTACGAAGGTACATTTCAGGTACTTTCATAACAAAAAACAAAATTGTAATTATGTGGGGAGATGGATATGTTAATTAGTTGACTCTAAATCATTTCACTATGTATATGTATACATGATGTTGTATACCCTCTGGACAGTTGTCAGTTAAACTCTGACAACTCCCAATTTTTATTTTTAAAAAATCAATTGGCCATAGATGTGTGGTTTCTAAACTCTGAGTTGTATTCCATTGTCTATATGTCTATGCTCATGCCAGTACCAAACTATGTTGCTTATTACTAAAACTTTATAGTAAGTTTTGAAATTGAGAAATAAACCCTCCATCTTAGCTCTTATTTTTTAAAATACTTTGAGTTCTCTGTAATTTCATATGAATTTGAGGGTCAATTTTTTTTTTTATCTTGACAATACCAAGTCTTTTCCAGTGCACGAGCATGGAAGTCTTTCAATTTATTTAGGTCTTCAAAAATTTTTTAGCAATGCCTTATAATTCTCAGTATATCAATCTTTTACCTCCTTAGCTAAATTTCCCCAGATGTTGAGTTCTTTTAGATAATTAAAAGTGAAATTGTTTTTATAATTTCCTTGAGTTATTCATTCTTTGTAAGGGTAACAATTATAACACAGATAATATTTATTGAGTATTTATATTCAAACAATACAAATCCTTTTCGCTCCTATGTTTTTGTCTTTAACATCTTCGATTTTTCTCCTAAAATCATCCTTCATCCTGTTTTTCCCTCTAAGTATTCTCTCTCTCAACTACCATTCATAACCAGACTTCTTAGATAAGTTGTGTACATTTGTTTCTATTTCTTCTATTCCCATTTTCTTATGTTCTCCAGTCTGGCTTCTGGCCCTACCACCCACTTCAAAACTCGTGAGAAGTTCACTAGTTCTCTCAATGTCACTACAGTTCTTATTTTTTAAAAAAATATTAAAAATTTTCTGGGCATGGTGGCACAAGCCTGTAATCTCAGCAGTTCAGGAGGCTGAGGCAGGAAGATCACAAGTTCAAAGCCAGCTTCAGCAAATTAGGGAGGCCCCAAGCAACTTCGACCCTGTCTCAAAATAAAAAAATAAAAGGGCTAGGGATGTAGTTTAGTGAGAAAGTGCCTCTGGATTCAGTACCCAGTACTAAAAGAAAAAAAGAATCAAAATTTTAAAATTTATATATGATAATTGTACATATTTTGAGGGTATAGTGTGGTATTTCAGTATAAATTCCTTATCTTAACACTCAGCTATATCTGGTGCAGTTTTCACCACTCCCTCCATCTTGAAATATTTTCTCCTCCTTGTGACATTTTATTCTCCTTATTTTTGCATCTTTCTTATTGCTTGTCCTTTGTCTTTGCTACTTCATCCTATTCTATCAATTCTGTACATATGGAGTTCCTCAAAGTTCTTTCCTATGCCCTCTTATCTTTTATATTCTGATCTTGTCTTTTTCTATGGCTGCAATTAAACTCTTGACAATTCTCAATTGAATTATTAATCCCAGATCTGCCCTTTGAGCTCCAGGTTCATATATCCAATCATTAACATATTCACTAAGTTGTTTTATAGGGGAATAAATAATTTTCCTTATAACCCCACTATTCCTCTTCCTTGCCCCCTTGATGGGGGACACACTGTAGTTCTTAAGTGTGTTTATGTTATATATAATCCATTCAGTTGGGTAAGAGAAATTTTAGGAGTCATCATCAACTCTTCCCTTTTCCTTAATGACTCACATTCATTGAACTCAAATCCTTGAGTCTGTGCTATCGAATATATCTTCTTTTCATTTTTGTGGTGCATCTTCAAGTATCCTGAATCTGTCCAGTTTCTATTTCTACTGCCAACAGCCTAGGTTTTTTGTTAAAACCCTCCCTCCAATTTGAGGACTAGGCCTTCCTGTCAATCTTGTGGATTTTGGGTTTCAACTCTTCGTGTCTCATAGGTTATGCCTTAAACAAGACTTAGCACTCTCTAAATCCATGTTTGAGGAAAAGAAAAAAAAAAACTTTTGTTCAAAGGATGTGCAGTCTGCTGAAATGCAGCTCTGCATGTAACTTACTTTTTAAATTTTTTTTTTTGTAATTGTAGATGGACAGAATGCCTTGTTTATTTTTATGCAGTGCTAAGGATTGAACCTACTGC